ATTCATGTCCTTTGACATTTACATCAATACATCATTAGAAAGGATCAAAGAGGGGTGGTTACAAGAGAAGTATACAAGCACAATAACTTATAATTGCCAATATGGTCAGCCTTATTTCATGCAATATATAATTTATTGGTATAACATGATTTATAAAATCTTTTTTAAATATATATTATTTACATGTATCTTCAATATAAAAGTATGCCATTTGAGGCACTAGTTTACACTCGACTTGTTACAAAACGTGTAAAGGATGGAAGAATGTACCCAACAATGTTTACGAGAGTTCCAAAGGCACAGAAGATAGAATGCCTTTGCAAGTTAGAGCTTTTAAGGAAGAAGATAGATCAAAAGGAAGTTATCAATATTAACAACAATGGTGATATAAGTGACGATAGAGAGGAAGATAAGGAAGTTCTAGATCAAGCTCACATTCCACTACCAAATGGCTAAGATTAAACTCCAATTCCACCATCAGACATCTAAAATCTAGATTAGGTTCCAGTAGCAAATGACAATGATCAAGTGGTTTATAAAATATTATGTCAACCTTAAGGTAAGCAAAAGTGAATTTTACAAACCAAAGCACTTATGCTCGAAGTTGGTTATATTGTCTTCATCTTACTAAACAATCCCAACTGGATGTATGAGTTTATGATGTGTGCAACAGAAGTTCATTTCAAGTCATTCTCTTCCGGGTGCATTATGGATTTTATTGGCATTAATACTAGGGGTGTCCAAGGGAAGCTTGAAAAGGTGATTATGTATTTCATATTTTTATTTAATTTCTAAAATTTTTATTTTCTAAATTATGATATGGACCTATCATATTTTCTGCAAAAACATATATGATGGGTTTCGTGATAGTGAGCATGCAATACATGTTTTGCTTGGCTACAACAATTCCACTAATATCATACCCAACCTTGTGGATGAGCAAATTCACAACACATTTGCTAGGTATCGATTTTAAACTCTATTAATGATACAAGTTTTACTTCAGCTCTATTGCCTACTAAATAGTGTTGTGATTGATTGCACAATAAATAACAATTATATGGTGAAAGCAGTATATAACTTTGGTAGGTTAATATTTGCTATTGAAGAACATCATTTCTTCAAACACTAGCTCAAAGGATTTCATAAGTTGCTTTCAACCTCAAAGAGGTAAATTATATTTATTAAGATTTCAATACATGTTTAGTTCTATTTTATAGATCACAACCATTTAGAGTTTCTAAAATTGGAGGCTTTGGAAGTTTCCCCAACTATGCAGAAGCCATAGCTCAACAAATGCAAGGTAAATCTTCCTCATAATACCAATATAGGAGGAGGCATAAAAGGAATCAATATGTTGATGATGAAGTAAAAGAAAGTTAATTGCATTCTTACATAAAATAAAAAGCTTATTATATATTAAATATCTGTTAAAGTGTTAGATGTCAGTGATAGTGTCAATATTAGTGTTAGTGTCAAATATCATAATTGTAAATTGTTATTCTCCTTTGTTACCATCACTTTGTAGTGCTTGTGTGTTGCATCTCCTCCTTAAACATCTTGTAAACAATTGTATATGATATGATAGCACTATTTAGAACAAAGTATGTTGCCTACAATTAATATAATTTCATTAATTTTTTTTTCTTTTAAAAGAGACAATACTATAGTAGTAGTAAAGTAATTTTAAATCTTACATTCCACTATAGAGTGGCTTAAAAACCTTATATTTTGCATTAGCTAATGTAGTGTTTCCCAAGGGGATGTTGTTATGGGTATGTGTTTGTAACTTGTTCTTGAATTTATTGTACATTTACGTGCATATTTTCTAGACCTACTATTATGCAATTGTTACAGTTCTCAAGAAAAAATTGTAAAGCCATAAAACCATTTGTCTTATCCAAAAAAAATAGCATATTAAACATCAAATATAATAGCGTTTTGTACTTTTAAGAAGTCCCACCATATCAGGAGAAAAATCTTGCAAAAACATATGGTATTACTCTTGAAGCACTAGAGGTAGTAGCAAGATCTGGAATTTTATATATAGGGAGCTTTAGTTTAACTTCACTAGAGCCCTCAGCAAAAAGAATATTATTATGTCGAGGTAAAAGTGGAATGTTGGTAGAACTTAAGGATAGAAGTGGAGATTGGTATAAAATGCTAGGATGTTAAATACAAGTAGCAATGACTTTCTTTCATGCTATTTTTATATAAACTTCCAAAGATCTTAAGAAAAATAAAAAAACTATAATGACTATAACTTTTCTTGGTAGTTTATATATTAAGTTTTAGTCTTGGGAATGAAGTTTATTTATTATGACATTGACAATACTCAGATTTTTGAAATGTTAGTCTTGGAAATAGGGTTTCATAATCATAGCTTGCTTGTAAACATAAGAGCTTTTAGAATTCTAAATTATCATATATACATATGCTCTATCATTCTGATAATAACCTACTTCACTATGTACATATTATTTTCTACATATACCAATTTTCTAGGGAGATAGACTGTAGGGAAATATAAATTGCATTATAGTGGTATATTGGCATGTTGTTATTCTCTCATATAAAATTACCTTTTAGTCTTGGAAATATAGATAAAGTTGATTCTTTGATGTGATATTACTTTTAAGTCTTTCAAAAGATTTCAATTTTCTTTTATTATTATTCACAAATAACTCCTGAACACTCTTGTTAGAGATTCACCATAAAAATAGATCTTGGTCTTTTTATATGGAGGGATTGTGATATAGATAGGCAATAGAGTTTTTGATATGAATTAATATATAAATTACAAATGTCATGAAAAGTTTTATTTTGTGCTTTCTCCTTTGCTATTCATTTCTCTTGTTCTAAATTGTTATTTTGGAAGTAACATAAGTATTTTCATCAATAATGAAAGTGCCCTCCACATTTTCAAATGGGTAATAAAGACCAAGAGTGTAATATGGAAATTGTGGTAGTGAAACAAAATTAATATTTTCACATTCCTTTGCACCACAACTCTTATTCACCTTTATTTTCCTTGCTTCCCATCTTCTTAATAATAAAAACTTTCTAATAAAGGAATAGTATATAAATATATAACAGCTTAAAATTAGTCAAAAATTTATATAGATGATAACTATAATAGTAATCAGTAAAATAATATAACTTTAGAAAAGATAAATTCTTATTCATTTTATCTTTTTTAAATAATTCATTCTAGTAGAAACTTTTAACCCAATTACTTACATGTTTCAATATTTTAAAGTTTGTTAGAGCCTTCATTTCTTCAATTTAGATTTCCTTTATAAGACTTTTAATTGACTAAATTGACTTTCATTGACTTTCATTTACTTAAGTTGAGTTAAGCTCAACTCAACTTTGGACCATCCTCTATCAGAAGACTCAAACAATGCTATAAATCAATAGTTTAGAAGAGCATTATTTGTTGGACGCTCATACTATATCCTTAACATGGGTTTCATGTTGTTTTGCATTGTGACATAGTTTCAATAAGACCACAAGCCACCATATAGAAGGGAATGATTATCTTCTGGATTTCTAGTCACCCTTATATAGAAGACCAATAGGTTGCAAAATCTAAGTGGGAGGTCTTGTAGCTGGTTTATTCTCCCAAGTGTGACCAAGTTTAGAGTAATGTGGTAGTAGTTCAGTTTAATGGCAGCTTTGCAGCATTTTCTTATTTAATCAGCAAAGGCTAGAACCAACTCAGTAGCAAACAACTATTGGTCATGTTTGACTTTTATAGGTTTGCAAGGACCCACACCATGAGGGTTAATTAGCAATGGGTACTTGGTCTTGTCCTTCGAGCCTGGCCGAATCAAAGTCCAGAAAAGCTAATTGCTTGCTCGAAAGATTATACATGATGCCTTTTGCAAATCCCCAGGAAACTTGAGCTGCAAAGTTTTATACGCCTCCACCACCTTCTCTTTGCAAACTTCCCATACCTCCTTTGATGGACCCAACTGTTGGAATTGAAATTATACCCAGCCATCATCATGTAAGCACAGCTCCATGTCCATCATCAACCAGCCACCAGCAAGTGTGCATGACCTGAAAGAAGGAGTAAAGCCTTCAGCAAACATTGTTGGGGAGAAATGCATCTTGTTTTTTACATAGTTACCCCGTTGCCATGCTCACTCCTTGCTCCCAGTAAATTTTTAATGACTACCTCTAAATTAGTATATTAAACTTTATGTTGTTAATGGGTATGTGACTATAATTTAATATATATTTTTCATCAAATATATTCTTGAAAGTAAGAGTTGTATACTCCTTTTATTGTACTATAGTGAGGAAGGGATCTTTTCACTATATTTTATATCAATTCAATATAATTTATATGAACTTTAGTAATTAAATAAACAGAATTTTAAGAGTGGTTGACTGTATAATGAGTGGAGTTCAATTGATTCAACCACTTTGAACCATAATCAACCCAACAATCATTATATATAAATGTTCCAATTAATAATATGTATTCATATTATGCTATACAATAAGGATAATGCTGTTATAGTAGAATAAAAAGTATATTTTATGTTTTACTTTTAAATACTTAAAAATAATTACATACATCATCCTTAATAATGAGGTCTATGTAAACAATGAAGTGGCATGCAAGTCTAAATAAGCAAAATGGGTGCTGATTCATCTCTAATCGTTTTGGACTCTTCCTTTGCTCTAGTGTCTTTAGATCATTACAATCTGCTGCTTTTGTTGTTGGTGGGAATGAGCGAGGAGCTTATACCGTTTGTAGAAGTGATAAGAGCGTAGAAGAATAGAAGAGCAGCGTCAAAGTTTCCTTCTCAGTGCAAGAGCTGTCAAGTTTGAGACTTAAATCTGCAAGGCTATGCTTGTCTTCTCCAGTGTGTTAAAGTCCAGACGCTGAAACAACTTAGCGGCGTAAATTGTCAACGCTTTGATCAGCGTCCTCGAGGGGTCCCGTCGAGATATAGTAGGCTTGTCAAGTTTCCATTTCGATGATCTTAAACCCCTTTGGGATTTGCAGAGGAAGCCGTAGCCGTAGCGATGGAGGAAAGTGGTGGCGATGGAGGAGGAGCGTCTTCGTCGTTGACAATGGTGCTGGTTTCTGCGGCTCTCGTGTTGGATTCGCCACCCACGGTCGTGGAGAGCTCCTGGTTCGCGGCTTGGGTTCGCTGCTCGAGCTTCACCGCATGAAGAGCTGCGATGTAGAAGGCGGACATCGCGGAAGTTGACACGAGAGCGAAGATCCCGGCTCCGGTGAACAGTCCCTGGCTAACCACCAGGCATTGATCTCTTGGCTCGGTTCTCCTCGAGGACTCAAACACAATGCCTGCCTCTAGGATAATTCCAATCAGCAACAATGCTGCTGCAACCGCGAAGGAGGTCCTGGTATGTAAATTAAAACAAAACACTTTGGATCACTCTTGAGAACTTTGCTTGATTTTTTTTATGTTACCAGGACGTGACGAGAAATATCGCGGCTTGCCATCGAAGAGCCGACGTGACGGTGGTGCTCGTGTTCCAGATGCTGAGGGGCTGGATGATCTCTTCCGAGTTCTTCCTCGACAAAGCCAGAGCGAGCGAGATCACCATCGCGATCAAAGCTCCAAGAGCGCAGGCGAGCGCCGCGCTCCCGGCTTTGGAGTAGCTGCACTTCATGTCCGTGTAGGCATCGGTGTCCAAGAGGCTGGGGACGGACATGGACGTCCATAGCACCTGTAGCAGCCATTGGCACCCACAGTTAAGGTCGTCTTCTTTTCTAGCTTTTCTTTTCCTTACTCGAGAAGAGCTTTGACGAGATGTACCTGTGTTCGTGCAGTCTCGGCAATCAAGCAAAACGCAAACGCGATAAAACCCAGCAGCAGCGTCCCCACGATGATCAAGCTGTTGCTCACCTTGCCGGAGAAGAGACCCTTTCTGATCTCCAAGTCGGCGCGGGTGATCGCCATCACCACATTTATACAAAACCAAGAGTTCGAGCAACCAGACGAAGCGAAGAAACGAAAAAAAGGAAGAGAGGCTTCTCCAAAGTACCGGCCGGTTCTTCACCTGAATCAGAGCAACCGCCAAGTGGAAAACAAACACGAAAAAAAAAACAATTAAAAGGTTAAAAAGGAAAGAAGGCCAAAGTTTCACGGGACCGGGAACCCCTGTAACTAACTTTTCATTGCGTTTACAGCCCTAGCAAGCAAGAAGCGAGAGCTTTCGTGGAAGAGGAGCTGGGAAGCCGATCGATGGTACACAGATGCATTACAGTATGGCAACTCTGGGTATCGAAGGCCGGAGTGCCGGGGCGGCAAACAAGATGAGCAGCGCGAGTATGACGGGCATCGCCACCGTGAGCATTCCGGCAGCTATCGGGACCAAAGGCGGGGGCGCGGTCATGGCTGGGAGGTCTTCACAGTACCAAGGAGGATCGACGTTTACAGTGTTTAGTGCTCAGGTATTGCTCGCTCCAAGATATTGGTTTTCTCATTCCATCTTGTGTGGGCGTGTGTGTGTGTGTGTGTGTTTTCTGGTTGCAGGGAAGCAATCCCTTGGTGAATTGCAAGCTCTGCGGGAAAGGTATCCAAAAGGTACACTCCCATTGATTTTCCAGCACGAAAGATGGGATTTTTATCTCTTTTTTCTTCTTTTTCTTCTTCGCAGGTTTATGACAAATCGGTGAAAGGCTATGTGTATTCCTGTACTGGAGCGCATTCGTCCAAGATCCAGCTACCGAAGGACGAGACCAAAACAGGTGTGATACTCTTTTGTTTTTGTTGTTTTTGTTTTGCAAAGCTTATGAGTTGAGCTTACCTCCTTTTTTTCTCATTGTGATTGAGTCAGGCCTCCAGTTGATTCATCCATATCTGGTGCTACAGCTCTTTATTCCCTCCGGACAGCATTTCAACTTCGAGCTAAGGTATATGATCTATCCTTTGCGATTTCATTCTTCTTTTAGTGCTTTTCTCGTTGCAGTAGTAACAATCAGTAGAGATGCAGGGTGAGTGACACTACGAATACTCGGCGAAAGATGTACTTTTCCACCTCTTTCAGCGAGCTCAAGATCACGCCTCTTCACTGCCAGATTCCAATCTCAATGGTAAGCTAGATGCTCTGGAAATCTCCCAAGCATAATCAAAGGATCAAGGCTGTGATCGACAGATAATGCGGAACATTTGGCTCAGCTTGGCACTGCATGTCCCAGACCTTTTCTACAATTGTTTCCGGGTAATAAGTTTTCGGTGAGAATAGTGGCCTCCGTGCAATAGTCTAAAGGTCCTGGAGATGTTTTTAACACTCGTTTCATTTTGGTTTTGGTTTCTTGATCCACAGGTCCGTTGAAGTTATTGTCCTAGGACCCGTCTGTAAGCTCCGGAAGATATTCACGCTGAGGACCCGGCTAGCAGAGACTGGAGGCGAGAATGCGCTTGGCATCGAGGAACCGCTCCCTCAAGAACATATGTTTGCGTCGGGGGTGGAGAACTGTTCGCAAGTGATTGATATTGCGAAGTTACAGTCTGCTCTTGGCATTGAGATTCCTTCCATTGATGGTAAGTTTGAGACTCCTTCTTCTTCTTCTTCTTCTTCTTCTTCTTGCCTTTGTTTGCTTGTTCTAGTTCTCTCTTGCTTGAAACTGACTTCACGATCGATGCAGCTCGAGGTGGTCCGGAGTCTGTCCTGAGCGCCAGAAAGTTGACATTGAACAGGATGGAGTATCCGAGACAGGTGCACGTCGCGTTTGGCTCCAGGATGCCTCTCGTCTCCTCCACCACGCAGCAAAATACTCAGGCCACCATCGAAGAAAGGCACGTCAGGGAGAAGCAGCCAAAGCTCCCGCTCCCGCCGGACACCTCCATGGACACGACGACCAACAGGACGGCCCCGGAGAAGCTCGACCGGAGGTCTCCCATGCTTGCGAGGTCCTCCACTCCAGACATCCAAACTCCCAGCACAACCACGACCAAGAAAGGCGAGAACAACACCAACAACATTGCAGCAATGCTAGTAGCCAGCAACGAAGCCGCCAGAGTCGAGAAGAAGGCCGAGAATGCTGTCGAGCTTATGAAAGGTGGTGGTGGCGCAAAGCCGGGAAAGAAGAAGGAAGAACAGGCGTGGAAGCGAGCCGAGATACCATACATCGCAAACGGCAAGCACGGGCGGAAGGAGGCCGAGCTGGTGAGAGCCAAGGATTTCAGGCAGCAGGCCAGGTACGAGGACTCTCCCCCCATCACCCCGTGCGGATGGGAGAGATCCGCCAGCGCTCGCGGCTCCGACGACATGAACTTCAAGGTGCACACCTTGTTTGAGAAGCTGGGAGACTACGCACAGGACGACACGGAGATCTTCTCGTCCATGTCCGAGGATGGCGAGGACAAGGAGAAGGAGGCCTCGGAGGATACCGCTGCTCCGGACCTGGCACAGGCTCCACAGCCGGCGAACTCGTCCTCGTCGCAAGCCGAGCAAAAGCCGTCCAAGACGATCGCGGGCAGGGACGCCGAGGGGCTCAAGTTCTACCAGTTTGAGCTGGAGAAGGACTTCATGCTCCGGGAAGGGAACAACTCGGCGTCGGCGTCGGACGATGAGAGCTGGTGCTCGGGGAGCTCGGGCCGGGGCAGCCCCAGCGCGCTGAATGATCTCGAGGACCTCGTCAAGAAGACGCGGTTGAGCGGGGGAAAGGCTCCCAGCAGCGATGCCATCGCCAAGGGTACGTAAGTTCCACCTCTAGAACTGGAAGTTCTTCTCTATAACTTGGAAGTTCCCTCTAGAACTTGGGAGTTCCACCTCTAGAACTTGGAAGGTCCACCTTTAAAAACTTGAATGTTTGGTTTTTAACTCTTTGTTCTTTCTTCTTGCCAGAAGAAACCACTGTGGCTATCACTCCGTTTGATAGCGCCGATGATTTGTTTGTTGTTCACGAACAGGTAATGTGTTTTTTTTTTCTTCTTCTTTTTGTTTTCCCCAGCTCCACTTGTGAGATTCTTTTGCTTTTACAGGACCACAGTAATCTAAACGAGCACGATTCGCACGATGCATACGATGAGCATGACGAGGAAGAGTTTGAGGATTCTGGCGAGGAGCCGGTGTTTGAGCCCCATATGGTCGCAAAGCCGGTCCTCAAGCTAGACAGGTAACTATCACCTTTTGTCACTAACCAAGTTCTCTTTTTTCTCTTTTGCACTTGCGAACTTTTTCTTTTTGACTCCAGCAGGAGAAGCGCCACCGGCCCAAAGAGCGCTCGGAAGATCTCTCCCGGCCCGAGCTCCTCTCGCAGGAAGTCAAGATCGGCACAGTTAGAGGAGCTTTGCGGACGTCCAGCCGCGGCTGATGGTATTTGATATGATTCATTCAAGTTCTTGGTGACAAACTTTGCTTCTTTCGCTCCTCCAGATCTCGAAGGAACATCCGAAGACGACCTCGATTTGCTCTATGATCCAACGCTGGATTGTTACTATGATCCCAAAACCAACAGATACTATGAGTTGAAGTAGAAAAAATACCACTTTTCTTAGTGTGCCTGTACGAAAGATACTTGTACGAATTAGGGCAAAGCTATGGCATCTGAGAAGATTCGCATTTCTTTCCATGGCGGGCAATGGCGATGGCGATGGCGATGGCGGCAAGATCCTCGTCACATTCGATGTGGATGGCACTCTGATGCGCAGTGTCGGGCCGCTCGCGAATCGCCTCCACAAGCGCGCCTTCTCGCACGCCATGGAGGAAATATTTGGCGTGCGCGATGCTACCATTGATGTTGTCAAGGTAAGTGTTAGATCTGGGTGTACGAATGAAGTTTCTATGATCTCTATACCCGATGTAGCACCATGGGAGCACCGATCCGATCATTCTCGTGAGCACTCTGGAGCATTACGGGGTTCCAAGACAGGTTTGTATGGATCGATTGAAAGAACAAAAAAATACTGTGATTTGGCAATCTCACTTGTTACAGGAGGCCACGGCCAAGCTTCCAGAGCTGAAAGCCAGCATGGTTGGCTACGCACACGATCACGCGTCGGAGATTGGAGATGGATTGGAACTTCTTCCAGGAGTTTATCATCTCCTCCAGACGCTCTCCAAGGATGAAAGCTTCTTAATTGGCCTGGTAAGAAATCCCATTGTCTTCTTCCTCTCTTTCCGGTCGTGCTCAGACCTTGAATCACTTTTTTGGCAACTAGGTGACTGGAAACCTCGAGGGCATTGCTTGGATGAAGATGGTCAGCTTGGGGATCGAGGAGTTCTTCAGCGTCCCCCATTTCGGAGGGTAAGTTCTTCGATTCGGTCGTTCTTTCCCATCAAGACGAAGAGAAAACTCTCTTGTCTTGCGAAGATTTGGCAGTGACCATGAAGACCGCGGCGAGCTCGTCAAGCTCTCTCGCCAAAAAGCTCTCCAGCTCTTCGACAAGACCATCCGTCTGCACGCTCACGTTGGCGACACGGTAAGCAAAGAGAAAAAAAAAAAAAAAACACGTTTTTTCTTGTTCTTTCCATCTTTGCTCACAAGAAAAAAAAAAACTTTTTTCTACAGCCCAACGACGTCGCTGCGGCCGAGCTCGGAGGCGCTCTTCCCGTCGCCGTGTGCACCGGGATTTTCACCGGCAGTGAATTGCGTCAAGCCAGCGGCACGAATGCCGTGATTCTCAACGACCTGACCAACGCGGAGGCATTCCTCGCGATTTTTGGAGGTTTTTAGAGGACGCGACTGCTCTCGAGACAAAAATATATATATCATTCATTCGCCGTGGAAAAAAAAAAGGAATTTTGGAAAAAAAATTTGGAGTGCTTCGTACAGAGGAGGACACTCTTTGGTTGAATTTTTCTCCTTTCGCTTTGGCAACTGGACCAGGGAACCCGGAAGAGATAGTGGTCTTTTAGAAAAAAAAAAAGGCTTTCAGCGATATAGTTTGACACGGGACATTAAATTTTTTAGGGTTTGTGTGGAAGAGATTAGGGCTTTTCATTCTCTCTCCCCCGCAGCAGCCGAATTCTCTGAGATTCTCCACGAATTTGCTGTTCTGGAAGCTTTCGCCCCGGTGACGGAGCTAATCAGGCCCGCCGGGGCGGGCGGAGTGAGATTTCTAGCGCTTGGAATCGGTGTCTTCTCTCCGTGGCAAGGATTTTGTTGAGATTTCAGAGATTTCTCCCTTCTTTGGATGGTTTTGGCCGCGACACAGACATGGTTGTGAATGCGCACCATCACAGGCTTCTCTTGGAGCGGCGCGTGCCGCAGGAGGTACCGCGATTGTCCCCGCACGAGCAGCCGCTGGGCGGATTCATCTTCTTTTGCAACGATGAGACCATGCCCGAAGACTTTGAGCGGTGCCTCTTCGGTAAAATCTTTTGTCTTTTTTCGTTTTCTCCCATTTTCTCTTCGCTTCTTTTTTGGTTGTTCTTAATTGGATGGAGTGACTGTTTCAAATTGCTCTGTTTAGATCCGTGTTGAATCGATCGTGCTGTTCTCCTCTTCTCTTTCTCTCTCTCTCTCTCTCTCTGCAGGGCTGCCAAGGAGTTTCATTGATTCCGTCAAAGGCATACGCAAAGGGTTGCCACTATTTCTCTACAACTACAGTAACAGATGCTTGCACGGAGTATTTGAGGTGAGCCCGAGAAAACCATCTTATTCCAAGTTCTTCTTTTGTTTTGGTTTAATACTTTGCGTCTACTTGTAGGCATCTAGTGATGGTGGCTTGAATATCGAGCCGGATGCTTGGATCAACAAGGATGCGAGGTCCGGAGTTGATGTTTCCAGATATCCGGCGCAGGTAAGTTGCGTGTAGTTCTATCTAACTGCAAAGGGTGGTAGATCATCAACTTACACCCGGGAGAATCCATCCAGGTTCGCGTGCGGATTCGAGAAAATCGGGCACCGCTTGAAGAGGATGCCTTTCGGCCGGTACTCTTCCATTATGAAGCAAAGAAATTCAGGCTAGAGCTGTCCATGTCCGAGGTACTCGCAACTTTGTACTAATTCGTTTATTAAATTTTTTCTTTCTTTTTTTAATTCCCTGGAAACTTTGCAGACAGCAGCGTTGCTCAAGCTTTTCAGCAACCAGAGGCTTGAATCATCCGATGGCAGCGAGTGGGAGACAGTGCGCGGCAAGCCTCGGATAAACTGGCCCAAGCCAGGCCCTGCGAGCTCTCCGCGAAAACGGAATGGCTTCACAACGGGCACGAGCTTGAGTAGAGCAGATCTCTCCCGGGCCTGGAGATCTTCGTCGAACGGGGAGCATTTGGCAGTGGATAATGTAGGTGGTGACGCGATAAGGGACGAAGTTGCTGCATGCACCAACAAAATGGTGGGGGTGTTGGCGAGCGAAAGTGATAGAGGAGAAGATGGAGTGGAATGCTCCACCTCCCGGGGTTCGTACGTAGCAGCTCTCAAGTCTGGGATGCAACCTGGAGAAAGGGAGAGTGCTGCAGTTAAAAGCAACGGGAGCTCCAAGGTTCCTGCAGTGAAGCTGGATGCTGCTGCTGCTGCTTCTCCAGCAGCGATCATGGGCCGGCTACACGATCCGGATCCCGCCGTCAACAGCGAGATCACTGGCAATGGTTTCACAGACGCGAAGTCGGAAGCTCCGGAGGGAAAGGCTCCAAAGCCGTGGAAGCAAAGGGACGATGCCAGTAGCAACACCAACAACACCAACAACAGGAAGAAGCTGCCACTCATACAGCTCCACTCGTTCACGACTTTGCCACACGTTCCGCTCCTGACACCGATACGTTTCCACTCGCCGCCGCCGCCGCCGCCGCCGCCGCCGATGAGCGAGATGGATGGCTTTTGGTATCGCCCCGTCCAGAGGGATCAAACTTACATCCCTGGAGCTGCATGGAGCGTCCCGGTTATGCTCGTCCCTCCGGCGGCTTTCTCGCTGCCTTCGCCGGCGGTGGCGGCAAACGTGGACTCCAACTTTGGAGTGCTCCACGCCGAGATCTTGGAGTTTGCTCGCACTGCGAGGCCGTCACCCGCGGCTCGAGCACGGGCCGAGGCCGCGGTGGATTGCGTCCGACGGGGAGTGAAGCAGCTCTGGCCTGGAGCTGATGTTGAGGTCTTTTTTTTTTCGTTTCTTTCTTACAAGACTGGAACTTGAGCTTTGTTCTTGCAGGTGTTTGGCTCGTTCGCAACAGGCCTGTGCCTTCCACATAGCGACGTGGACGTCGTCGTTTTGGACACGCCAGCGCCTCCGGTTCTCGCAGACGGGGGCTACGGTGCGAGAGGTTTCCTCCCGCTCATCCGCAGCCTCGCGGCCGAGTTCAAGGAGCACCACAGGTGGTGTAAGTCGCTGATGACGATCGAGACGGCCTCCATGCCGGTGATCAAGCTGTGCTGCGACCCTTTCCCGGACGTAGCTTCGGACGACGCTCCCCCGGTGGCCATCGACGTAACTCTCGGTGGCAAGTCGCGGGGAGGCTCCAGGACTAGCAGCAGCAGCAGCAAGAAGAGGCCGGGAGCCATCTCTCCGGCGATTGTCCACAATGGAGCCGCCGCGAGAGAGTACGTCCTCGACAAACTCCGCCAGCTCCCGGCGCTGGCTCCTCTGGTACGCGCCTAGCTTTCTCGCTTTTCGTATGAAGGTTGATATCCCCGCTCGACTTCTGTGGTGAAGTATCACTGTTACGCTGCAGGTGCTCCTCATGAAGTCCTTCCTGCATTGCAAGGGATTGAACAACGTCTACACTGGTGGCCTGGGCTCCTTCTCGCTCACGCTCTTGCTCGTCTTCTACCTCGAGGTAAGAAGCAATCGTCTTTTCCAGTTTCGCAAGAGAGAACCAGCTTTTCTCTCCATGTCTTTCATCGCTTTCTGTTTTTTTTTTTCTTCGCGTTCGTTTTAGCAGCAAGTGCCTGTGTCGTGGAGTGGCAATAAAAACGGTGTTTCAGCACCTGCGAATGCGAATCATCATTCGGTGGCATCGTCCGAGGTATCCGACTCGGAGGACGACGAGACAAATCTCACGGACTCGTCCGCGTCTACCACGGCGTCCGAGGACGGTTGTGTGTCCGCCGCGAGGCCTCCGTGTCAAGAGGAGGAGCTTATTTCCCGGGCTTGGAGGATTGTGGATGACTTGCTAGTGTCACTCCAAGCTCCAGGTGCACCAAATCTTGGCACGCTCTTGATTGGGTTCCTTCACATTTTTGGACAGGAATTCGATTTCTCAAGAGCAAAGATCGTACTCAAGGTACTCCACACTTTACTCTCTTCTTCCTCTTCTCATTTGCGTTTTGGATTTGTCTTCCAACCAGGGCTCGAATGGTAGCTCTGGAGGGATGTTTGCGCTGGAGCCGAGCTTCCAGCCAACGTCTTTGTGGATTGACGATCCATTGAAGCCCGGCATGAATGTCGGGGCTGGATCTTTTGCGATGAGCAGCGTCCAGGTAAAGTTCTAGCGTTTTATATAAACGTTTCTTCGGCCTAAGTAAGATCTCAAATCCAAACCAGGCTGCTATGCGGGACATGCTGTTCGTCTTGGCCAAGCCTCAACAGGATCAACACCAAGATCAGCAGCAAGAAAACCACAAACTCCACCAACAAGATAGAAGGCGTAATTCTCCCTTGCCTCACCTTGACCAACTTTTCCAGGTGGTTTGATTATTCTAAAACATCCATGAAAAGGAAAAGCAAAAAAACAAACAAAAGAGAGAGAGAAAAAAATGGTTACAGGAAAATGTTCTACAATGGTTTTTGACTTTCTTTGACTGTTAACTTTTTTAGAATTTCTTTCACGTGAAGACTTTTATAAGTTGACTTCTTTGACTTTTAGAGCAAACACAACACGTATAATACAAAAGCTCTGTAGTGTACAACAAAATAAGTAAATGGGAGGAAAGAAAAGAGAGAGAGAGACGAAAGCTTTCTCTTCTTGCTGTGGCGATGGGCGATTTTTGCTTGCCTTTTGATCGATCATCGCCCCCACTCCGTCCCTGGAAATCAGTGAACAAAAACGCTGCTGTTCCTGCTGCTCGTCAGGTTATCTCGGTTGTCAGCGCTAGCGATTGCGAAGCTCGGCGATGGAGCTCCAGTCTTGATCGTCGTCGCCTCGGCAGCGGCAGCGCACTCCTTGTGCCTGAAGCACTGCGTGGTGTGATCGTTGGTCATCCCCGCGGCTTGCATGAGCGAGTAGACGGTGGTCGGCCCGACGCACGAGAAGCCTCTCCGGACAAGGTCCCTGCTGATGAACTCCGACTTGGACGTTTTGATGGGGACCTGGGCCGGCATCCGGAAGTTGGGCGTCACGGGCTTGTGATTCAAGAAGCCCCACAAGTAATTGCTTAGTGATCCACATTCTTGGACAATCTGGCCATCGAACAGTCGAACAGTGAGTGAGGCACGGAAAAAGGGAAGCAAAAAAGGAGAAAATATCGGGACGTGAAAGAATGAACTGTTACCTGTAGAACACGTCCCGCATTCTCAATTACTGCCTGGAGCTTTCCCTCCTGCTGATATATGTCCACGTCGCTCTTCAACGCAGCAACTTTCTTCTTGTCAAAGGCTGCCACTGCTGCTGGATCGAAGCCTTGGAAGGCACGCCTGGATGAAGTAGAAGGGAAAACAGAAAGGAAAACATCCACACGTTAATGCCCGCTGTTCACAATTCCCTCGAGGTGCAAGAAATTCAACGTAGAATCAAAGTAAAAGAGAAGGCAAAGAAACGAGCAAGAAGTGGAAGCAGTGGCTACCAACCTGTAACAATCTCGCTTGCTGAGAATTAAGGACCACCCCATCTCCGACTGCGCACCGGCTAGCACCAGGAGCTCGAAAAGCAAGCTGCATCAACACCACCAAGTGGAAAGGAAAAAATAAACCAGATGGATCAGCAACAACTTATAGGAACAGTGAAAGCAACAACTCATAGGAACAGCAACGAGCAAGCAATACTAAAATAAAGCTCAACAGGATCCAGCTCTTACTTGTCATCGTGCACAGGAACTCCCCATTCTTCGTCATGATAGGCGATGTACGCGGGATCTGCATTGAAAAAGGCTTTAGATGAAGAATCAAAGCGAAACAAAACAAAGAACAATCACGCAAAGATTCGAGCAGCTCACCAGACGGATTGACAACCCACCACAAACGAAGCAAACATTGAAGAAAGAAAAAAAAACACTGGAGAAAAAAACTCACCACATTGAGGCGAAATCCAAGCGCATCGCTTCTGGGTGGCAGGAGAGTTGAGCGATTCCTCCGGAAGAACGACTTTCACAGCCTTGGGCGAGCCTTGCTTGCGGCCGTAGTGAGAAATCTTGAGCTTCCTCTGGGCGAGAACTTCTTGAGGAGAAGGAAACATCGTGGTCGTCGTCCTCTTCGCTATCACGGGAGTGGAGGGAGCCTCTGGAATTTTTCTCGGCGGCGCCTTCTTTGCCACGCTCTTCCCACCCTTTAGAAGCGAGGAAGAGGGATCTTTCTTGAAGCACGGGCTGCTGTGGCAGCTGCTACTGGCAATGCTGGAAGAATCGTCCTCCTCGTCGACAATGCTAGGCTGATCGTGAAGAACAGACGCCGGGCTCAAATCCGCGGCCACGGGCTTGAGAACCGCTGGACCCGGCACTGGAATCTGGACGCTACGGAGCTTTGGAGTGCTGATCTTCTCGGCCGCTGGCACCGGAGGAGGGGATGGTTTCTTGGCAATTGATGGAGCACTCTTGAGCGGCTTGGGGGCCGCCGGAGGAGTCTTTGGCAACACCTTTGGCTGCGTTCGCCGGAGCACAGGCCGAGACGACGAATCAGCAGCGGCCATAGCTCTCGATCGACCGATGCTCCACAAAATCTCCCACAGAACCGCTAGAATTTCACTACAGAGCCAAAATATCGCGCATGCCAGCCAGGAACGCAGTAGAATCCAAGGAAATCCGTGCTCCTGAGCTCACGGAGATCCAGGAATCCAAGAAAGATAAGAGGAAAAGGAAGCGCTTGATCAGGCCAAGCAAGAAAAGGCGAATCCGATGCAACTGTGCTGCTCCGGAACCAAGAAATCGATGACGGCGGCACGAATCGCTATACCCTAGCTCGCTCACGCGCCCTGATCAAACAAGAATCCCTTGCGTGGCCAACAATCCCTCTGCCGCTTCTGTTACTCTGTTGCGGCGCTCTATCGCTTCTCTCAAGATGGAAACTCCGGAGGGGAGGGGTTTTTGGAGCCACATGAAGGGCGTAAGCTGGAACTAATGGGGCGGCCCCACGTGGCCCACTATCATTGCCCAGCGGCAGAGATGGCACGACGCGGTTGGCTGCTGGGCCGCCACTGCCTGTGTACCGACGGCACGCCTTCTTGACCCGGTTTGGGTTTGGATTATCGCGCCCATTTTCAAATTTAAAGTACTAATAAAACCGATTTAAATTTTAGGGCTCTTAGAAGCTTCTCTCTTGTCAAGTGTAGAGTTCTACACTGATCGTAAGGAATGAAATAAGAGAGAGCTATTGATTTGAATTTTGGGACCACGTCGCGACCCGACGACCATGGCCACTGGCTGATCGATCGAGCGATTGATTCCAATGCGATATTATTTTATCGTTATGGGAGAGAGGATGGAAGGATCGATCAAATAGTAGCGTGGGAGTAGACCCAAGACCACAAGCGTTATAATGTTGTGTGGGTCCCAACTTAAGAACTCCATGGTCCTCCAGACCTAAATTCCAACGAGGCTTTCCATGTGGGAATCTTAGCTTTGATGGAAGCTTGGATGGCGGGAACTAAGTTAGGGTTCTTACCACAGTTGAAAGTCTGGGTGGAAAACTATGGATCAAACCCAGAGACAATTGTCTGTGGGTGTATAGATATCATATCCAGGGAATGTGGGCGCGTGTTGCGTTAGCTCTCCCTGTGCTTGCTGGTCCAGCCAGCCAGATCGATGAATCCATCGCTGCGATCGAGGAGGGCACATCTCTAGATTCCCAGAGGTTTATAACATTGGAATCGTTAATCTTGCTTGGATCCACACCACCGCCACCTTTTGGATTCGTGTCATCGTCAAGCTCGTCAAGCAATTTCTCAACAAGGGACCCATGGGTGTGGTTTTCGTCAAAATCTGGATGAAAGACACATTCTACTCGCAAATTTTAACACTGGGCACTTACGCGCTCTCGCACTGTCGGCAATGAACGGTCGTCTATCGTGAAAGCGAAAATTTAAGGTATTTTCCGATTGATCTCGTCCCGCTCGCGTCACACGCGCAAATCCATCGATCAATTTCAGGAGATTCCTGTAATTGCTCCGTGTTTGGTGATGGTCATATCAAACGGAATGAAAGGAACGTAAGATCTGGTCAGATATCCCACGATCGAGATTTTGGAGATGATCGTGGCCATGACCCTTGATCCTCCATTAGGCTAAACTAACTCCCACGGAAAAATCAACGCATACATATCCATATACCTTTGATCGATTCTTTTAGTACGGGCTACGAGAAAAAGGTGGCGAGCGAAAGAAAAGAAGGCAAAATCATGAGCGCAAGTGCTGCTGGCCTGGCTTGGACTGGCTTGCAACGCATAGATTGGAGTGCTATCCAGCGGCAAAAGGCATTGCAAAGCTATCTTTTAACAGAGGAAATAGAATATTGGAGGGGTTGGAATAATCTCTGGATTCGATCGATGATCATTCCAGCAATCAATCAAGCTTGGGAGCGCTTGATCCCAACAAATTTGGCTGCTCTTGTTGGCTGGAAGTGGTGCGCTGCGCCGCTGTCTATCTATACCGGCTGTGATGCTCCTCCATGTGCAATGCCAGGCGCGCGAGCGAACAAAGGGCAGATCGCAATCACTTCACTCACACACACTCGCCCTCCCTGACACGGGTTAAAGTTCTTGGGCCCGGGTCCACGAAGAAAGCACGAGAAAAAGCGACCAGGATGCCCAAATTGCGATCAAGCGCGGATTGAGATGATAAATTCGAGCTCGACCCACCATTGGTGATGCCAAATCGTGACGACCCAAGTCGACGTAGAGCGTTTTGGGCGCCACCCACGTCAAGAGAATTCACTCCGGGGGAAAACTTTAAGAACAGAGGGAGAAGTCGCGGATTCGAGTACAGGGCACAGCCCAGCTCGATTAAAGAGTATTGTAATAGTCGACAAGGGAGGGACAGGACAGGGGAGTGCCAGGAGAGTGTTTTTTCTCCTTTTCTTATGTGGTTCTTCAGTCCATTTCGATGTCTAGCTAGACAAGCCTCGATCGATCTATAAATTGCTCTTGCTCTCCCACTTGCAAGAATTCATGCTTGTGGAGATGCTCACGCACTGGTCGATTCCATCGCTGCTGCTGGTTGCTGCCATTACGCGCCAAGAGAGACTGGAATTCGAGATCGATACACCAATTTGCAGCGCAGTGCTCAGAGAAAACCTCACACTCACTGACCGCGCGATCGCTCGCAAGCACAGTGTTGGCTACTTGCCGTCCACAGTGTTCTCGTGAGCACCAGAAAAACAGTTCTCGTTGCCGGCGGTAGGCCGCGCGTCACCCACGCGCGCGAAAGCGACGCCGCCATCTTAGAGCTCCCGCCCACTTAAGTTTTAAAATTAGGGAGATGGGCCGTTGGATGGCGAGATAGGTCAAAGGACCGTTAATCGGGAGTGGGCGTAGGGGCGCGATTTAAGAAGCGCGGCATTCTTCCGCCCCTCCAGCAAGCGCGATGGTTTGCGCGAGAAGGTATGTGTGATTCTCGCCAGCAATCGGCGGCAGGGCGACCGAGATTTGGCGGCGGCAGCAAGTGATTGAATCAATGTGGCCTGTGACGGCGCAAGAACTGGATTGCTTCTTCTCCGCGGCAAGCGATGAGCAGCACAGCTTCATCGATTACCACCAGATCCTCGCCGACGATGGTGCCGTGAAGAAGGTGTCGTTCGACGTGGCGCTGGACACGGACGATCTGTGCTGCGATTGGGGTGCTAGCAGCAAGAAAGGTGCCAAGGACGGTGGAGGCAAGCAGCAGGAGGAGACCGTCAGAAAGAGCCACAGCATTCGATCGCAGAGGAAGATTAGCCTCTGCGATTGCAAGAGCCTTCTCAAGAAGAAGCTCATCGACAACAGGCACACGAAGTGGATCCAGAGGCAGTGGGAGAAGCACTGCGGCAATCCTGCCAGGATCAAAGACAAGCTCGTTGCGAAGAATTTCCTGGGACGCCACCATCCTTCCACTTGCGGTCGTCAGCACTTCCCAGGAGGAGGAGGAGGAGGAGGAGACGATGCAGTGATGGCTTCTGAGGGAAGAAAAAAGCTTCCACTGGCTTACAGCTTCATCTCTTTCAAGGCTGGGATTTCTACTGTGGATTTCAAGACGAAGCTACTTCCAGCCGAATGCGTCCAGGTGTGGAGGAGGTGGAAGATCAGCAAGAGCTTGCAGTTGCCTTTCAGGCGGAACAACCAAATCTCTGACCATGCCGCGGAAATTCGCGAGCAACCCGTGGCTCAATCTTCCAAGTTCTTCCAGGACCATGACGTGCTCACGGATTGCTCTTGCGGGCTCCTCATGGTGGCTGCCGATCACAGCAGCAGCGATTCAAAGTCACAACTCCAACACGACGATTTTGTTTTTGTCAGCACCGGTGTGGATTCTAAGCTCCAGGAAGACAGCACAGAGTTTGACAACGCTAGTGCTATCTACGTTGACGTCGGAGTACAAGGTGGTAGCAGTACCACGGATCCGGTGGATCTCTCAAAAGCTCCGTTGGTGGTGGAAGAAAGTGCATGCGCCAGTAGCAGTGGAAGTGTTGTTCTCGAGACATCGACGTGGAGCTCCCAGCACAATCAAGACGATCCCACGAACGTATCCAGTTCCAGTACGTTAGATCTCGCTGGGACTCTCCCAAGAAGGAGAAGGAGAACGCGGAGCCCATCCTCCGATCTGACAGCCGAAGTTACAAAGTATCTCCTCTTCAGAGAACTCCTACGTCGGATGTCTTCATTGGATCAAGCAGCGTGCTGCAGCCAGTCGGAGTACTCAGCCTCGAGTGACGAGCAGGATTCGAAAGAAGGAGAAGAACCTCCTCCGGAGTCGTTGGCAGAAGAGCGACCCGCGGCTAGCAGCATTGCTGAAACTCAGAAGACCATCCGGGAGGAGGTGAAGCACTCGGCGAAGTCTCTCAGTCCATACCGCGCTCTGTTTGAAGATCGAAACAAGGACCTTCTCCAGGAGCTCCTGACGTCTTTGAGCGAGGAGGCACAGCTTATCAGGCAGGCATGGAACTGTAGCTTGGAAGAGACGATCGCATGTCAAGAGCAGGCTGCTTCTACTGCTATTGCTCCGTCAAAGTCCGAGAAGGAGAAGGAGAGAGTTTCCTTGTTCCTCAGCCTTAAAGACGGGAAGATCCAGCTCAAAGACAAGCACAAGGATGAGCTCCAGCACGACTGCCTCTCGAACGTAGTGAAGCAGCACGGGATGACGACTGGTTTCTACATGAAGATCACCCAGGAGGAGATGCTCAAGAAACTCCCGTCCAAGACGAGGACTTCGGCGAGGGGGAGAAGCGTTAACGCTCAGGGAAGAGCAATCACGTCGCAACGAACGTGAAACCACGCGAGCAGTACGAGCAGTGAGGCGGATTTTTCTTTCCACAATCGAGGCAAGTCAGGTATAACTCTCTCATTTAGTTGAAGCGTTTTGTGCATTAACCCGGCTTTGTGAATCACAGGAGGATTCTGCTCAAGCTGGCTAGCATTCTTAGCAGGTGCCTCTCTTCCTTCTTTTCGCAAGAGTAAAAACTAAGTTCCTGCTGCTGCTTACAGTTCATAGCTCTCAAAAATCGGGGGAGAAAAGATGTAAACAACTTTTCGAGGTCACCACTTTGAGGAGCTAGACCAACAAAAAAGAGAACAGTATTCACAAGAACCATATAAACTGGGAAGGTACGAAAGCAGAACCGGAAAACGAGACGACCGAAACAAAAGAGAACCAAGGAAAAAAAACCACGACGAATCGTTAGACCGAAAGAGCAAAGAGGTACCGGCTGTCGACGTCCGGGAAGTGCATCCTGTGCCACGACTTGCGCGTGATCCAGAACACGAATCCCGGGCCCCCGCGGGTGTTGGCGAAGAAGATGCACTCGCTCGAGCCGCGGCACCGGTAGCTCCACTGCGTCTCCAGCTCCTTGCAAAACTGCGCGCACGCGCCACCCGGCATGGTGCTGAGCGGCAGCCAGCGCGATGTGGCGGTCCTGGACATCCGACTTGGGGCGGCGTCCTCGGCCTGGAAGATGGACAGGGAAGACTTCGCAAAGCTAAAGACGACGAGCAGCAGCGTGCCGGAGCGGTCCACCAGGTCCATCACGTCGTGCCACTCGTAAGCAAAGCCGGGGAGGACGACGTCGTGGTAGCCGAAGGGATCCACGGCGGCGGACATGTTGAGGCTGATGAGCCCGACGCCGGGGCCGTGCCGGCCGGGCGGGCGGAGGAGCACGTAGAGGTGGCCTTTGCACACCACCGAGGCGCCCCAGCGCTTGAGATCGCCGTCGAGCTTGATTTTGAAGGAGCTCCACTGGCGGGTGGCGGAGTGGTAGACGTTGGCCACGGCCCAGGCGTGAGCGGTGGCAGAGTCGGCATGGGGGAAGCCGAGCCGGAGAAGCGCCAGCTTGAATCCTCCTCCTCCACGACTCTCCGAGCTTAGCGAGCTGGGAAGAAGCCGGGCATGCTGCGAGCTTGGTTGGCCTGGAACAAGATGGTGGTTGTCGCGGGCGAGGCCGAGGCGAAACTCGTAGACGACGGGGTCCGGGAAAGCTGGCGGGGCGGGGATGATCCGGACGGAGCTCGGGTGGAGGGGGTCGGCGGCCACCCGGATGGAGGTCGGGGTGTGGCGGCAGGCCCAGGCAAGGAGCTCGCTACCACCAGCACCGCCGCCGGAGGTAGCCGCGAACTCGAGCCAGCAGAGGTCCGGGTGGCTGCGGGGCGCCGCCGGGCAGCACGCGATGTCCAGCAGCGTGAAGCTCCGCCGCAACTGGAGGTTCCACGCCACCAGCTGGAAGCGCCGCCGCTCGTCCTCCTCCTTGTCCGCCTCTTCCGCCACCACCACCACCTCGTTTCGATCGTCTTGAGGCTGCTGCTGCTGCTGCTGGCAATGATCTTCTTCCTCCGCATTAACATGCTCTTCGTCTCCTCCGGGAGTTTTCTTGCGCTGGGCGGACTTGATCGACGCCAGCCACTCCCACGTCATGGGCTGCTTGCCGTGCTGCTTGCGGTAGACCCGCTGGAACGCCTCCGAGCAGATGACGCGGTTCCAGCGGCGGCACACCGCGCACGAGCGCGCTACGTCGTCGCGGTCCAGGCGGACGAGGATGCGCTCCAGGGCGCCGCTGGGGATCCCCATTTCCGCCGCCATGGCGCCACCGCTGCTCATCTTCTTCTTACTTGCCTTGTCGCCGCTCCCGCTCCCGCCGCTGCTGCTGCTGCTGAGGTGATGCTGCTCGCTGGATTCCGCCCCTGATGACATGGATGGATTCGCCTCGCGCGCGCGCAGCCGCCGCGCCGATCGCCGATCGCCCGTTCGCTCGCTCTCTCTCACGTCATCGTCAAGAACCCTAAAAAACCCTCCCTCTCCAAACACCCAGCGTTTTTTAATCCACATTAATTTTACCCCAGTCAGATTTTTTTTCTCATTGCACGATTTTCACCACCTTTTTTTAGCTTCACACACACCTCTCTCTCTCACTCATCAAGAACTCCAATGTTTTTTTTTTAATCTCTGTCACCACCTTTTTTATATTAAAGAAAAAGGTAAGATGGTATACAAAAGTATACAAAAGATGTGATCAAATTCTAAAAACCTTTTGGCCATTTTCTTCTCTTTGCACCTTTTAAGCTGTTTGGCCATTTTTTTCTACCACTTTTTATCACCAAGCTTAAAATCTCTCCGTGTGTGTGTGTGTGTGTGTGTGAGTGAGTGAGGGATATGCTGTGATTTTCCAGGAGTACCACACATCAACCTTTTGCACCCGGGCGATCTCACGGTTCTTTGATCTCGGCTCTCAATAGCCAAAACCCAAGAATTCTGGTAAACAAAAAAGCTTGGTACGTTTTTTTTTCTATGCTTTCTGATCCTTTTTCTTTTCTTTTGTGTGTGTGTGTAGTGGTGGTGCTCTCTTGACGATCCCAGACAGGTCCTCTGCAACCGCACCCAACGTAGGGCTGGACATGATCAAGGAAGCTCAAGGAGGCAAGATTTAAAGAGTTTTTTTCCTTTATTTTTACATTTGTAATTAAAATAAATGCCCTTTTCTCCATCTTTTTCTTGAAGCTAGGTGCCTTTTTCTGCAAAACAAATCCTTTAGGTTTTCCTAACTACTCATTTTTTCGAGCGATGGCAGACTATGTGTGGGCGAGTGACGCGAGGTTGCTAGGCGCTGGAGGCGACGGAGAGGTGAGGGTTGGGTTCCACCGAGAGACTGGAGACAAAGTAGCCATGAAGAAGATGTACGAGCACGAGTACCTTTACGATGCCATCATCAACGAGTCGGAGATCCTGGAAGAGGTAGCGCACGACAACGTCGTCAATCTCCTTGGGTTGACCTGCAACAACCAGGGGACGTTCATGGTGATGGAGCTCATGGACGGGAGTTTGGGCGATGTGATCTCGTCACGCAAGCTTGGGGAGCACGACATCAGGGCCGTGATGCGCCAGATCCTCGAGGGCCTGGCGTGGATTCACGCGCACAGAGTCGTTCACCAAGACGTCAAGACGAGCAACGTTCTCGTCAAAAGGGATGGAGAGAAGAATAAGTTTGTGGTGAAGCTGGCGGACTTCGCTGCCGCGAGGAGGCTGCGGACACGCCCCTGGTCGAACAAGGTCGGCACCCTAACGTTCAACGCTCCGGAGCTTCTCAAGGGTGCCACCAGCTTTGGCACCGCAATCGACGTGTGGGGCGCCGGGTGTATATTCGCGGAGATGCTCCTGGGTAGCAATCCCTTTGACGTGACCGACGAGGAGGACTGGGACTCGTTCGACTGTTTTGTGGCTGATTTCGCCAAGAAGCTGGGCATCGATGGCTGTGGCATGGGCTATCAAGACTGGTGCCGAGAGCGAGCACGCGAGAGGATCTTGGAGAAGATGGCGCGGTGGAAAGCCGAGGACGTGAGAAGCAGAATTAAAGACCCCGATGCGGTGGAGCTGCTCAAGAGGATGCTGGCGATTGATCCAGCGAGGAGGATCTCGGCGCAAGACGCCTTGAAGATGCCATATTTCCAAGAGAAGGCTGAGGACACAGCCAGGCGAGTGCTCCCGACAATGATGACTGCGAGTGGAAATTTGAGGCCAGCTTGGATTAAGATCAACAACGCAGCCCCATCAATAGCGACAATGTAAACAATGTTTGTGGAGACTGTGAGTGTATACATTCAAAGTTTTTGCAAAACATTTTATCTTTCTCTAAGTAAATCATATAAAAGCTCAATCATGCTAAATTCATTTAAAGTTTTTGTATTCCCAAGAAAAAAGAGAAAATCCTCTGTAAACGATGAACCACTTGTGTTACTGTGGTGGTGGTGGTGGTAACGATCGCCACCACGGGAGATTCACAACACGAGCACGACCAACATTAAGTACTATATCTTCCAAACCATGGCGGCGGGGCGGGCGGCGCCGCTGCTGCTGGAACTCTCTCTCTCTCTCTTTCTCTCTCTCTCTCTCTACCAGTAATCCCCACACGAGCACTTCCCATCGCTGCTAAACAGGTGGAATCGATTGCAATCCCGCACGATGATATCCCGACCAGCGATCCTGGCGATAAACTTGGTGGCGGTGTGGCAGTCGGAGCACACCCGCAAGTTCTTCACCACCCGGATGGGCTCGCCGCTCCCCCGCGAGCTCACCAGCCCAAACGCGATGGCCATCTTCTCGCTGTGATACAACAGCATCGTCTCCTTCTCCCCCTCGCTCACGTCGTGAAGCACCGCCTTGGTGTCCGGGACGTAGCCCGCCGCGCGCATCAGCCCGTGGAGCCGCGTGAGCTCCTCGCAGATCTCGTCGGTCCTGGGATGGTACTTCCCGCCGGAGCTAAACTCGTGGAGCTTCCCGTCCACCTCGATGAAGCTCAGCCCCGGCAGCTTCTTGAGCCCCCTCTCCTCCATCTTCTTCCTCACGCTCGCCACCTTTTCCCACATCCCGTGAGCCGCGTAGATGTTGGACATGGCGATGTAAGAAGCAGTGCTCGACGGATCCAGCTCGTAGACTCTCTCTGCCGCGGCTTCGCCCAGCTCCAGCTTCCCGTGGATCCGGCACGCCGTCAGGAACGTCATCCACGCCACCGGGTCCGGCTCAAACGGCATGCTCTCCAGCAGCTCCTTTGCGTCGAAGAGCCGCCCGGATCGTCCCAGCAGGTCCACCATCGCCGCGAAGTGGTCCGCCGTTGGAGCCAGGCCGTGGAGCTCCGCCATGTCCGTGAAGTAGCGCCACCCCTGCTCCAGGCTGCCGCCGTGCGTGCACACAAACAGGATGCTCGTGTAAGTCACGTCGTCCGGCTTCACTCCCTCGAGGTCCATCTCCTGGAAGAGGTCCAGCGCCTCCGCGTAGCGGCCATACTGGGAGAAGGCCGCCACCATCGCCGTCCAGGACACCACCGTCTTCTCCTTGGCCGCCGCGAACAGCCGCTCGGCCTCCTCCAGGCTCCCGCAGCGCGCGTACATGTTGATCAGCGTGTTCGTCACCACCACGTTGGATTCCAGCTCGCTCTCGGATATCTGCGCGTGGAGGGCCTTGACTTCCAAGAGGCGGCCCAGGCTCGCGCAGGCCTCCAACACGGCGATGAAAGTCACGGCGTCGGGCTTCAAGCCAGCGGCGCCGGTCATCTCCCTGAAGATCTTCACGGCACACCGCGCACGAGCGCGCTACGTCGTCGCGGTCCAGGCGGACGAAGATGCGCTCCAGGGCGCCGCTGGGGATCCCCATTTCCGCCGCCATGGCGCCACCGCTGCTCATCTTCTTCTTACTTGCCTTGTCGCCGCTCCCGCTCCAGCCGCTGCTGCTGCTGCTCTGATGACATGGATGGATTCTCCTCGCGCGCGCGCAGCCGCCGCGCCGATCGTCGATCGCCCGTTCTCTCGCTCTCTCTCACGTCATCGTCAAGAGCCCTAAAAAACCAAACACCCAGCTTTTTTTAATCCACATTAGTTTTACCCCAGTCAGATTTTTTTCTCATTGCACGATTTTCACCACCTTTTTTTAGCTTCAATACTCTCACACTCATCAAGAACTCCAATGTTTTTTTAAAAATCTCTGTCACCACCTTTTTTATATTATAGAAAAAGGTAAGATGGGTAAAAGTATGAGAGAAAAAAATGGTCAGATTCTAAAAACCTTTTGGCCATTTTCTTCTCTTTGCACCTTTTAAGTTGTTTGGTCATTTTTTTCTACCACTTTTTATCACCAAGCTTAAAATCTCTCCTTTGTGTGTGTGTGTGTGTGTAAGTGAGAGATATGCTGTGATTTTGCAGGAGTACCACGCCTCAACCTTTTGCACCCGGGCGATCTCATGGTTCTTTGAGATAAACGTTGGCGTTTTACATCTCGGCCCTCAATAGCCAAAACCGAAACAAAAAAGCTTGGCACATTTTCTTTTTATATGCTTTCTGATCCTTTTTTTCTTTACTTTTTTGTGTGTGTGTGTGTAGTTATGGTGCTCTCTTGACGATCCCAGACAGGTCCTCTGCAACCGCACCCAACGTAGGGCTGGACATGATCAAGGAAGCTCAAGGAGAATATGCTGCCCGCAGCAAGATTTAAAGAGTTTTTTTCCTTTCTTTTTACATTTGTAATTAAAATAAACTCCCTTTTCTCATCTTTTTCTTGAAGCTAGGTGCCTTTTTCTGCAAAACAAATCCTTTAGGTTTTCCTAACCATTCATTTTTTCGAGCGATGGCAGACTATGTGTGGGCGAGTGACGCGAGGTTGCTAGGCGCTGGAGGCGACGGAGAGGTGAGGGTTGGGTTCCACCGAGAGACTGGAGACAAAGTAGCCATGAAGAAGATGTACGAGCACGAGTACCTTTACGATGCCATCATCAACGAGTCGGAGATCCTGGAAGAGGTAGCGCACGACAACGTTGTCAATCTTCTTGGGTTGACCTGCAACAACCAGGGGACATTCATGGTGATGGAGCTCATGGACGGGAGTTTGAGCGATGTGATCTTGTCACGCAAGCTTGGGGAGCACGACATCAGGGCCGTGATGCGCCAGATCCTCGAGGGCCTGGCGTGGATTCACGCGCACAGAATCGTTCACCAAGACGTCAAGACGAGCAACGTTCTCGTCAAAAGGGATGGAGAGAAGAATAAGCTTGTGGTGAAGCTGGCGGACTTCGCTGCCGCGAGGAGGCTGCGGACACGCCCCTGGTCGAACAAGGTCGGCACCCTAACGTTCAACGCTCCGGAGCTTCTCAAGGGTGCCACCAGCTTTGGCACCGCAATCGACGTGTGGGGCGCCGGGTGTATATTCGCGGAGATGCTCCTGGGTAGCAATCCCTTTGACGTGACCGACGAGGAGGACTGGGACTCGCTCGACTACTTTGTGGCTGATTTCGCCAAGAAGCTGGACATCGATGGCTGTGGCATGGGCTATCAAGACAGGCGCCGAGAGCGAGCACGCAAGAGGATCTTGGAGAAGATGGCGCGGTGGAAAGCCGAGGACGCGAGGAGCGGAATTAAAGACCCCGATGCGGTGGAGCTGCTCAAGAGGATGCTAGCGATTGATCCGGCGAGGAGGATCTCGGCGCAAGACGCCTTGAAGATGCCATATTTCCAAGAGAAGGCTGAGGACACAGCCAGGCGAGTGCTCCTGACAATGACGACTGCGAGTGGAAATTTGAGGCCAGCTTGGATTAAAATCAACAACGCAGCCCCATCAATAGCGACAATGTAAATAATGCTTGTGGAGACATTCAAAGTTTTTGCAAGACATTTTATCTTTTTCTCGAAGTAAAAACTCAATCATGCTAAATTCATTCAAAGTTTTTGTATTCCTTTTTCTTGGCTAAAAGAATATTCAAGAAAAAAAGAGAAAATTCTTTGTAAATGAATTTGTGTTACTGTTGGTGGTGGTGGTGGTGGTGGTGGTAACGATCGCCACCACGGGAGATTCACAACACGAGCACGACCAGCATTAAGTACTATATCTTCCACACCATGGCGGCGGGGCGGGCGGCGCCGCTGCTGCTGGAACTCTCTCTCTCTCTACCAGTAATCCCCACACGAGCACTTCCCATCGCTGCTAAACCGGTGGAATCGATTGCAATCCCGGAGGATGATATCCCGACCAGCGATCCTGGCGATAAACTTGGTGGCGGTGTGGCAGTCGGAGCACACCCGCAAGTTCTTCACCACCCGGATGGGCTCGCCGCTCCCCCGCGAGCTCACCAGCCCAAACGCGATGGCCATCTTCTCGCTGTGATACAACAGCATCGTCTCCTTCTCCCCCTCGCTCACGTCGTGAAGCACCGCCTTGGTGTCCGGGACGTAGCCCGCCGCGCGCATCAGCCCGTGGAGCCGCGTGAGCTCCTCGCAGATCTCGTCCGTCCTGGGATGGTACTTCCCGCCGGAGCTAAACTCGTGGAGCTTCCCGTCCACCTCGATGAAGCTCAGCCCCGGCAGCTTCTTGAGCCCCCTCTCCTCCATCTTCTTCCTCACGCTCGCCACCTTTTCCCACATCCCGTGAGCCGCGTAGATGTTGGACATGGCGATGTAAGGAGCAGTGCTCGACGGATCCAGCTCGTAGACTCTCTCTGCCGCGGCTTCGCCCAGCTCCAGCTTCCCGTGGATCCGGCACGCCGTCAGGAACGTCATCCACGCCACCGGGTCCGGCTCAAACGGCATGCTCTCCAGCAGCTCCTTTGCGTCGAAGAGCCGCCCGGATCGTCCCAGCAGGTCCACCATCGCCGCGAAGTGGTCCGCCGTTGGAGCCAGGCCGTGGAGCTCCGCCATGTCCGTGAAGTAGCGCCACCCCTGCTCCAGGCTGCCGCCGTGCGTGCACACAAACAGGATGCTCGTGTAAGTCACGTCGTCCGGCTTCACTCCCTCGAGGTCCATCTCCTGGAAGAGGTCCAGCGCCTCCGCGTAGCGGCCATACTGGGAGAAGGCCGCCACCATCGCCGTCCAGGACACCACCGTCTTCTCCTTGGCCGCCGCGAACAGCCGCTCGGCCTCCTCCAGGCTCCCGCAGCGCGCGTACATGTTGATCAGCGTGTTCGTCACCACCACGTTGGATTCCAGCTCGCTCTCGGATATCTGCGCGTGGAGGGCCTTGACTTCCGAGAGGCGGCCCAGGCTCGCGCAGGCCTCTAACACGGCGATGAAAGTCACGGCGTCGGGCTTCAAGCCAGCGGCGCCGGTCATCTCCCTGAAGATCTTCATGGCCGCCACCGCACAGCCGTTTTGGACGTAAGTCGTGATCATGGCGTTCCAGCAGATGGTGTCGCGCGATCCCAGCCTGTCGAATACTTTCCTCGCCTCTTCGACTCTCCCGTGCTTCCCGTAAGTGTTGAGCATCGTAGTTCCAACCACCGCGTCTTTCCCAAACCCGTTCTTCACAATCTCCGAGTCCACCCAGGAGCACTCCTCGAAGCTCGAGCAAGCTCCAAGCAAGCTCATAAAGGTGACATTGTCCGGCTTGAGTTCCTCCCTGACCATTCCCTCGTAGAGACTGCGTGCATCCTTCCCATATCCATTGCTTGCATATGCCCCTATCAGCGTGCTCCAGGCAACCGCGTCCCTGTTCTTCATGGCGTTGAAAACTTTCCGCGCCTCCTCCAGACTCCCACACTTCGCGTACATGTTTACCAGAGCAGTAGCCACAGCAACCTCCGAATCCAAGCCTCTCTCCAGTATGTGGGAATGAACGAGCCTGCCTTGAGCTAGAGCTTTCACGCTAGAGCACGCGCCGAGAATGCTCACGAACGTTGCTTTGGTCCGCTTGAATCCTTCCATGTCCAGCTTCTGATAAAGTTCCAGTGCCTCATGAAAGTCCCCGTTCTGGACGTAACACCCGATCATCACGTTCCACGAGACCATGTCTCGCTTCTTCATCTTGTCAAACACTTCCCTCGCCTCATGCGAACTTCCACACTTCCCATACATGTTGATAAGTGCCGTGGCCACCACCAAGTCCGAGTCGAAACCATTTGCGACGATCTCAGCATGAATCTTCCTGCCTTCCGGTAGCACTTCTGGAGTAGAGAACCCAGAGATCACGTTGATGTAAGTGGTGGAGTTTGGCTTCATGTCACACTTCATCTCTTTGAAGATACGAAGAGCACCACTCCAGTCCCCGCTTTGAGAGTGAGCTAGAATCACTGCGTTCCACGATGTCTCGTCCCGCGTCTGTAAGCTCTGGAACATCCTCTTCGCGTCACCAACGCTCCCAAACCTCGCGTACATCGTCACCAGTGCATTGGCCAGCGACTGAAACGAATCCAGCCCAGAGTAGAACACCCTGTTGTGAATCTCTCGGCCCTGTGCCAAGGAAGAACATGCACCCAGAACGCTGACGAACGTAACGTGGTCCGTCCCCAGCCCCTGTAAGTTCATCCTCCAGTACAAAACCAGAGCTTCAGTGCTATGCCCGTTCTGGGCATACGCTGCGATCATTGCATTCCACGACACCACATTTCTCTGCCGCCAGTCCATCGACTCGAAAACGCTTCTGGCGTCGACCAAGCTGTCGCACTTGCCATACATGCTGATGAGTGCGTTTCCCACCATCGTGTCTCGCTCAAATCTGCTGCATCGTATCCTCTCGTGAAGAGCTCGGCCTTCTGCAACATCTCCGCAGCTCGAGCAAGAGCACAGTACTGTCAAGAACGTAACGTTGTCTGGCTGCCTGTCCATCGCCCAGAACAAGTCCAGTGCTTCCCTGTGAAACCCATTCTGGGCATAGGCTCCTATCAGCAGTGTCCACGAGTAGAGATTCCTGTCCACCATGCCATCGAAGACTGTCCGAGCGTCTTGGAGACTTCCACACTTTCCATAAGCCTGTACCAAGAGATTTCCCAGAAACCTCTCCCTGTCTAGCCCGTTCTCTATGATCTCTACGTGCAGCCGCCTGGCTTGCGAGAGATCTCTTGCTGCTCCGCATTGCCTCAGAAGAGGAGGATATCTCTCCAAGCCAGCTTCCAATCTCGAGCTACTCGAGCTATGGTTGTCTTGCTTCACTGCTGGACGAGAATTCACGTACACACAAGACGGAGCCGGCGAGAACCTGCCAGGAGCTTGAGTTGAGTCACTGAAAGACGATGAAGTAGTAGGAAAGCACGAACAATTCAAACCCGGATGAAGCACCATAGCTGGTTCATCACAACTCGGAATTTCACAGCCCTATAAGTCGGGTCGTAAGGAAAAGCCGACTTTTTCGTCAAGATAAACGAAGAAACAGGCGAGCTGTGTCTCGCAGCTCGAGCCTCCCACTTTTGCCTTGCTGCAGGCTCACAGTCAGAACGCTTGCAAAGTCGCTTCTACTTACATGTAGAAGTTCACAACTTTGCCTCAGCTTCCCACCACGGTGATCTTTACTTGAGTTGTTACTTCGGGATGCAACTTGACCTCGGCTGTGTACGTTCCAATCTCTCGGATTTCGGGGACGGTCATGTTCCTTTTGTCGATTTTCCTGCAATGAGAAGAAATGAGTGCTATAGAGAATTAGAAGACAATCACAGATGTGCTTACTTCTTCGTCCGGTATTCAATAATGTCGGCCAAATCCTGGGTAGTCACACTGCATGGAGCAAGACAACTTCGGTATTATGAAGTCCCAACAAATCGAGAAACTTACGTTCCGAAAATCAGCCTGGCCATTCCACGCTTACGCTTCACGCTGAGAGGTCCTAGTCTTTGCAGTTCCCGTGCCAGAGCTTCAGCATCCTCTCTCAACTGCAGATAGCACCATCAGATTCATATTCAACACAAAGAGGGAGGCAGAAAACTACAACTTACTTTCCTCTTCTCGTTCTCTTTTCTTTCGGCCTCAAGCTTGAGCTCCCTATACACACAAGAATTCACCAAAGTAGTCGATACACCGTGAGAAAGAAGCACACGGACTCACTTTAGATATTCCGGTGTTGCCATCTTTGCTTTGCCCTTCGGAAACAAGAAATTCCGGAAATACCCAGCCCTGACGCTCACGAGATCGCCCGTCTTGCCGAGAAACTCGACATCCTCAGACAAAATAATCTGTGAAAGCAAAAAAAAAAAAGATAGAAAAATGTCCACAATCGAGCCACATTTTCGGATGCGAGTCGCATTACCTGCCTAGTCTTTACAGATCTCTTGTTCGCCATCACTCGCAGCCTCCGGGGCTGCGAAATTCCCAGCGAAACGCCATCAAGCCTTGCCTACTCGGCCAAATAGAGCGCCAGACAATGAGATTTTCAGCCGCAAGCACGCCGATCGACCGATTGAAAACTCACCGAGCTGCTCGTCGTGGCGCATCGAAGCCCTTCGAAGACGGGAAGTGCCGCGGCCATTGCCCTTTCTCCCAGAAAGAAGAAAAACGCTATTGCCAAAACCCCTAGGGGGATAAGGAATATTCTACGTTTTCCCTTAATTAAATTCATAATTTTAATTAGCTTATTGTGTACATTAGTCCAGAGGAGGAGCCCTAAAAACCTCTTCGGCCTCGCTAGGAAAACCAGCCATCCGGGTCCTGCTGGTAGTAGTAGAGTGGATTGTAGCTACTGTATTGGGATTGGTACCTCCTCTCCGAAAATCCATAAGCGTAAATGCCCAAACCGATCAATGCCGCCAGGAAGAGGAAATCCAGGCGATGGACGTAGCATCGATGCCGGACCCGGCGCGCGAAATCCTTTGCGCGTTGCCCGCGGCTTGGCCGGCTGCGCTGGTAGAGCGATTGCAAGCTCCATGATTGATCCGAGTGCCCTCGCGGCGCCGAGATGTTTTGCTTCCTGGGCGGATCCGGTGAGGAATAGACCTGGTTGTTCCTGCTCGGCGACGAGCTCCCAAATCCGGGGCTATTGACGCGCCCCCGCGACCCCTGGTTGTTCCTCCTCACGATGATGATCAATGCCACGGTCCCGGACACCGCCAGGAGCGTGAGGATCTTGACCCTGTGTTGCGACGACGAGATCCTGTCTATGTTCTTGCGCAAGTCCATCTCGATCTCGCGCTGGAGCTGCGCGGTGGAGGAGGGATTGGCCGCATCGGTGCTGGAATGGGACAATCGATCGATCGAATGGTTTTCCTCTTCTTGTCCCTGGCGAGTCGACGAGCTTGAGAAAGGACGCGATGCCCTCTTTGAAGCTTTTCTAGGGTAGCCGTTGGATCCGCCACTTGTCCTCGAGTTTTCCCGCCCGATCTAGGTTATCTCAAACACGGATATTCCTCGGCATCGCGAGGTTTAGGGCTTCCTCTTCGCGTGGCACAATGGCGCACAATCCATCGCAGCTCCTTCCATCGGGTAAGCGCTCGCATTCGCATTCTCTTTAGATTCCAGTGACGCGATTGCTTGACGCATCGCTTGCCGTAGAGCTCATCGATCGATGCATTGGCTCCAAAATCTGGGTAATCATGAAGGGCGACAAGGAGCTCGTTGGAACGCTGCGTGGCTTTGATGTTTACGTCAATATGGTTCTAGAAGACGTGACCGAGTAGTAAGTTTCTCTTCTTTTTTAGTTCTTTTGCCGGCTTTGCTTGGGCAAGATTTGTGACTCAAAGTTGTTTTTCTTTGGATTGTTTCCATTCATCTAAACAGGCTTCTTGCAGTGAGATCACGCCCGATGGCAAACGAATCACCAAGCTGGACCAAATTCTTCTCAACGGGAACAACATTGCAATCGTAAGCTTTAGTTTGTCTTTCCTCATTATAGAGAGGTTTTCTCTTTTATATTCTTTCTCACATTGGCAAATTCTTGCGCAGCTAGTACCAGGTGGAGCACCTGAATAGACCCGGAGATTCCCACCCCGCTAAAGTCACTGCATAAAACAGACACAAGCCAAGACTTAATAGTTTTCTTTGTCCACTTTTCTTCTTCGTTTTGGTTCTTTCAGCTATAGTTGGACTCAGTGACCGGCCTGTCAATGCAAGAGAATTTCCATTTCGCCACCCGCTCGTCGCAGAGTAATCCCCGTTCGCTTTCGTTCCGGCGCCCGACGGGGGGAAACAAATATCAGAAATATCCGAGCTCATCTGGACAAGTCACAATGAACAACGTATTTACGGTGACCTCCGCTCTTTTGGATATTATTCGCGGCTGACTTACTCTCTACAGCGGCAAGGGCGGTGGAGAGAATGAATCAAAGCTCTGCAAGAGGACAAGTGAGCGTTATCCATCTGCGTTGAGGCAAGAGTCCGGAGCTCTCGGATGACACCGCTGGTGATTCTGCGGAGGTGAAATGCCTCTACACAGTGCTGAAAAGAGCCGGCTTTCTCTGGAGCAGGAGCCATTGACTTTGCGCGAGATAAGGTAGCGTGTATATTTTCTTGGAGCTGCTCGCGTGGTGTAGGCAGCCGGCACCACGCTGGGTGATCCCACCACGCTCGTCTCCGCTATATATATTTTTTATTCTTCTCACTGCCGTTTCGTGCTTATCAGGCCTGTTTGTTCCTCGCGTCTCGGCTCTCTGGGAGAAGAGAGGAGAGGAGAGAAAAGAGTGGATCAAACGAACGGTTCCTCTTCGATCGAGCTGTGTCGGTTCTCTCCTTTTCTCCTCCGAAGGTCTGGTTTTTAGCTCGCTTTTTCTCGCCAAGATGAAGGTGCAAAAGGTGTGGAGCAGCTTCAAGAGATACCAGAAGCTAGCCTCCCTGGAGAGGGCGCATTCCTTTCCCGGCCGCTGCTTTCCGAGCTCCAGAATTTATGACGACTCCGACTCCGAGGATTGCCGCTCCAGGGACGTTCAGCAAGGCTACCTGGCTGTCTACGTTGGCCCGGAGCGCCTCCGGTTCCTCCTCAAGACGCAGTACTTGAATCACCGACTCTTCCGTGAGCTGCTAGAGAAGGCGGAGGAGGAGTTTGGACACCATCACAATGGGGGGCTCACTATCCACTGCGAAGTCGAGGTGTTTGAGGATCTCTTGTGGAGAGTTGCAAGCGGCGAAACAGCTGCTCCTCCTGGTCCTCGTCCTCCTTCACCGCCTCACAGCTTGACACTCCTCAGCGTCCAAAGCGGCTAGAGGAAGAAGATCGATGCGAAGCAATCAAATCTCCCGGCAACTTCTCTGGAATTCGGCTCAAACAGAGGCATTTTTGATACCGAGTTTTTGCAGGGAGAAGAATCAAAATCAAGAGAGGTGTTTGTAACACCAGAAGCTGTTGAGTGTGAGTGGATTGCTTGTAAAAATTAAGATGCCATCGCTCCAATACGACGAGGTGTTTCACTATTGCGTAAAACTATATGTGAGATAACGTCTTTGCACGTATCGTATCAATTCCCTCGTTTTAAAGATATCACAATATCACATTTTTAAGAGTTTGACACAAAATGGAAGTCGAGTAATCGAAGTAGTTTTCAAAACAATGACATCAGAGGAAAAAGAGAAGTGTGTTTTTATTTTTAAATAATAAAATGTATATAGCTTATCATTACAGTTAAGTTTCGGTGATAGCATTTTATTTCCATCTGGATAAATTAATTTACGTACCAAATTGTCTGTGTACGACAGGAGCCGGCCAGGATTCGAGCCGCAAGCATACGAAACAAAAACAAATTCCGGGGGAATCTCCTAGGCCCACAACAATCGCTCAAATTAGCCGAATATACTCGTCCTCGTCTAGAAACCATGAGGTGATCATCTATGGAATCGAAAGTGACAAGCGACCCATGATCTAAGCTTGATTGAATTGAGGTGATCGAATTGATCACTGGAAGGGAACAAAAAGAACGAAAGAAAATTCCAGCTTCAAACTCTGCTCCCTTTTACATACACTTTGTGCGAAAGAGAGAGAGCGAGGAGGGCGCGCACGCATTCTTAGTGACAATGGCACCACTTCCTCAGCTTTTTCTTTTTTCTTTCTCACTAGATTCTAGAAAGGAAATAAGAGAAGGAGATCAATCAATGGTGGTTTGCACGAACCTCACCCTCCTATACCGCGAGGAGCTCTTCGATCTGGGCGAGCTGCTTCAAGCTGGGAGTATCGCCACGCTCAAGAACACCAAGGAGGCTCTCAAACACCACGACTCGGCAAGGGAGCGTGAGGCCGCCCTTGTGATCGAAGCCAAACTCCTCCGCCGATCGCTCCAGCAAGATCTTAAACCAGGGGTGATTCAAATGCCGGGCATCCACCACGAAGCGCTTCCTCTCCTCGCCAACGTAGACGGCGAGGAACCCCTCGGGGACGTCCTTTGGGAGATAGAGCTCCTCGTCGTCGCTATGGTGATCGTAGCCATCGTTGTGGCTGCCCTCCTCCTCGCTGAAGAGCTCCCAGGAGGAGCTGGACGTGCGCTGGAGCCAATCCGAGCCGAGGCTACTGCTCCCGGAGCTGGAGGAATAGTGATCCCTCGACACCCGCGAGGATCTCAAGCGCTGGAGGAGCTTGAGCCTCTTGAGGCCGCGCGCGATGCTGCCGCGAGTGGCACCGCCACTGCAGCCATGGACGTGCATTGCCGCGCGCGAGGAGATCTGGCGATGGAGCGCGACCCAGGAGGATCGGATTGGAACCCAAGAGACCCAATGCGGCCTAGATCCAGCCCATTTCCTCACATTCACTTCGATCGACCACACAGCCAGAAAAGAGAGAAAAAAAAGGAGAACACACAGACACTCGATTGATGATCTTCTCAAACACAAGGAACGCGTTGGCGGTTAGGGAAAGAAGAAAGCCGCCGCGGGTATTTAAACTAGCTCGCGATTAGAATGGAGTTTTGGAGCTGAGACTCTCTCCTCTCACAATGTGGAGTAGTGATCCAGTCTACAACCCAAAAACAATGCCCAATTTTTTTTCCTTTTTCTTTCTGCCCTACCTAGTGGCACCACACCAAGGGGATGAAGGAACTCTTCCCCAACTACTCAGCAGTTATATAAAAACCTAACAACATCTAAGCAAAAACATCACTTACACTTTAACTAGTTCCAAGCACAGAGAAGATCCTCCTCTCTCTAGTTTCTAATGCAGCGAATATCCTTTCATCATGTGACTACTTCCACTTGTGACTTTCGCTGCCATGGTTTTTTTTTTTTTACTTCCAGACACCACTTGACTGTTTTCACGCAAAGGTAGGTAAACCAAACTGCGCGCTCGACCGTACGCTGCCGCGGTGCGTACGGACGGTCAGTCGGTTGGGCCGTTCGTTAACCGGACCAATGAATGCCATCGGACGATCACGATTGCTTTGCCGGGCCGCGACGGCCTCAGAGCCGGCCGTTTGTACGGGGCGACGCTAAGCGTTTCCCCGTGATTCCGTGCTACGGCCGGGTACGGCACCGCATTTACTGATGCAAATCTGGTGCTGCCACGTGTGGCTGTCTCTGGGAAACTGAAACTGCCCACCCGCCGTACGGTACGCCGGGGGTACCTGCCGTGTGCACGGTTTTGTTGGACAAATAAAAAGGGATTGAATGATTGACCGGGGCTTTGACCGGGGTCAAGGGGTCGGGGGTTCGATCCGCCGCGTGGCCGCGCCGTGGGGAATCTTTTTGGGGCAAAACGCAACGTAAAGGAGAGAAGAACAAGACAATGTAGAAATAACTAAAGTTGATGGGAGATATCACAGGGGGACAAGTGAGCCAGACCAGAGGGTTCAGTGTTTCGTGGATGTTTTTACTTTGAATGACCAAATCGGGGATGAAACAAGCCGAGTGCAAATGCCGCTTTGCGGGATCTAAGAAGTTTTGCACGCTAGGTTTGCTTGGCTCTCTGGAAAAACAACGCATGACAAAATAAATGTCAAACTTGATCATGTGCGGGGCACTATGGGTTTCGGTGCCATTTTTCAACGATATATAGGAGCGGTTAACCATAGAAAAAATGCCCCACAAGGGGAAATTGTAGAATACAACGTTGTTTAAGGCGGCTCTCCTCCATCTCACGACGACTGATTGATTGATTGATCGTGATAGAAGCACAAGTTTTGTTTTGTGCTGGCGCAATCAATCACTCTGCAAGGGAAGAATCTAAAAGGTTCCCTGGAAATGTCTTGTTTGAAACGGTGGATTTCGTCCCAGAATCTTCCACAAGCTCGCACTGCTTCGCGCTGGATCGCGACGTGTGGTGGAATCCATGATCCATCTGGTGGTGCGTCAACCACGCTCACAATCTTAGATTATATACCAGTTGATACAAAAGAATGGGGAGAGCTAGTGTCAGCAAATCAAAGGACGAAAGGAAGCTTTGATCCAAATCAGCTGGAGTAGAAATCGAGGAGCTCCTCCATCTCCAGGCTCGCCGCCGCCGGATCATTGTTGCCCAGCAGCCAGCAAATGTGATCGAAGAGCACAGCCTCGCAGGGGATGAGCAGCGCGCCCTGGCGATCCAAGCCATACTCGTCCGCGGCCTTGTCCAGAAGAACCCTAAACAGGGGATCGCGCAGCAAGCACGTCCCGACCACGAAGCGCTGCCGGTCGCGGCCCACGTATACAGCAAAGCAGCCCTGCGGGACATCCGCGAGATACTTCTCTTGGATCTCCGCGTCGCCGTCGCCGTCGTCTCGATCGGAGAAGCCATCGGATTCGTCGCACCTGGAGCTGTTTGATCGGGAGGAGTCTGATCTGGAGGAGCTGAAGAAGGAGGCGATGCGAATCGAGGAGGGGGAGAGAGCGCGGGCTTTGCCGGCGGCGCTGAGTAGCAATCTTCTCAACTTGGTGGAAAGGATCGTCATTGCTAGCGACTGACTGATCTTCTACGATCTCTATACAAGAAATGCGTGTGTCCTAGGGATGGATACCAAGGACCCGATATACTGCTCGACTGGAGTGAAAATCAGTGACCGCGATGTGAAGCACACCTGGATGGATTCTCTTTTTCTCGCTTTTTGATGACACCATATTAACAAAAAAGTTGCCCGGGCCAAAGCAGAATCATAGATCAAAATGGAGGTGATCTCAGCACGGAATTGGAATGATGATCTCACGCCACATTGCTCGAAGCCGGCACAACCGAAAGAACCAAAGACAAATAGCCAGAAAAAGGCAAAGTAAAGGAGAAATTTAATAACAAGGAGTGTGGCCAGCTAATATATGTGGGGTTGGCCATGCAATGTCTACAAAGTGTTTCCATCTAGGCCAACTTTTTCCGTCGTACCTTTTGTTGGCTTGTGCAGCGGTTTGGTTCGGTTACTGTTGGCGGCGACAGGTTTGATCCGTGTGCAGTAATTTTTCGTGGCTGCAATTTCATCGCTTCTGTTTCTGTGGCATAGATCGAGCTAGCTCGAGGTGGAGTGGAGCGCATTATATCTGTGGAGACGTAGCCACCAGAGAGAAAAGAAGAAGTCCAGAGTACCTTACTCCGTCCGTCCCGTCGTCCTTGGAGAATAAGGCAACATGGGGCTGGAGGAAGAACAGCGGGTCATATTTCGCTATATGGATTTTCGATCTATTCCATTCTATATCCCAAGTACGAGTACACACAGAAAGTGGGAATTGAAGCCAGGCCTGGGACGAGAATTGATGGGAGATGCTGGTTGATAAGGCAGCAGCTGCTGTTGCATGCAGCGGCAGAAGGCAGAAACTGAAATCAGAAGGTGAACCACAAGATGAACTTGTGGAGGGAGGAGCGCACATTTCAGGGGCGGATTTTTTGGGTGGTCAGTGAGCCCAACTGCCCGGACCCCAGCTTTGAGGCACTGAAATCTTGGGCACTTCAAACTCCTCTAAAATCTACCACTTCAAAACAACAGTGAGCATGTTCAAATGTCATTTTAGCTCTTCAACATGGACCTCAGTAAATCTTTGACTGAATGACAAGGAAATGTATTGTAATACTAGTAGTATTCTTGTGTGTGTGTGAGCTAGAAAACAATTGATACGATCGATCACAGTCACGCCGCCGTCACGAATTGCAATGCGCAATTTCGGTGGAGCAGCACCAGATCTAGAGCCCAAAATGTGCTCTCGAACAAGCTGTAGACTCTTCAAATGAAGCCCGTGCTCGTGCTCCTCTTTCAGTCTCTTCTTCCTTGCCGAGCCGAGCTGGGCACTCTTTGCTCTGGATCTGGATGGATCGATCGTGATGAATCCCAGTAGTGCTCTCTTGGATGAAGATGCTCGGTCATGACGCGTAGAAAGCCAGGAGCTCGTTCACCTCAAGCATCGCGGCAGCGGGATCGTTGTTGTTGAGCAGCCATAGAAAGTGCTCAAACAGGACGGGATCACACGGAATCGCGAGAGCGCCCGAGTTCTCGTACCCGTACTCCTCGGCCGCGCGCTGGAGCAGGACCCCAAACACCGGATTCGAGAGGAGATGCGTGCCAACCACGAACCTCCTCCTCTTCTTCTCGCAGCTCCCGACAATGACCGCCATGCATCCCTTTGGAACGTCGGCGGGGATGGAGCAGGAGCACGAATCGGGGGCCTGGTCCACGTCGAGATCGCTGTCGTAGCAGCAGTCCCAGGCCGCGGAAGTGGAGGAGCCGAGCGAGGAGCAGCTGCTGTTGCTGGAGGAGCGATCCAGGCTGCGCCCAGATCTCTTCTTGATCGAGGCGGACTTGAGCAGACTTCCAATCCTTGCCAGAAAAGCCATGGATGTAGAGCTAGAGATGGATGGAGAGTTCTTCTTGCTGTTGGGCTTTGCTAGTGTGATTGATATATCTTCGCTCTCGATTGAGAGAGGAAGATAGAGAGATAGATAGATCTATAGAACACAATGCTGCTTGCTTCTCCTTGCCTTGCTTGCTCGCTTTGCTTGGATTTGGGGATTCCGGGGGAGGGCTGGGGATTTTATATACGATGGATCCAAATTGGAGTGGCAGTGTCAGGGAAAAAATTAAAGACCAGCAGTTGCGAGCAGTGGAATCGGACAAGCCGGGCCTCACATGGGCGCCCACATGCTTCCGGGCGCCAGGCCGTGGTCGTTTCGTACCGGTCAGACCTCCGCCCTAGTTTTCTAATCGAACTCACCTGTTCGATCCATCGCTCTCCCCCAAAAATCCAACGAAAGGCCTCTCCATGCTTTTTTTTTTCGCGCGCTCTACTTTTTTATAATCCTTGCAAGAGGTTGGGGGAGATCCTTTTGATGGATGGATTGATGCGATGGATCCATCACACCACCCAACTGGGCGGCGTGATCGCTGTGTGTTCTTCCTCCAGCTCGGACGGACTGGCGCAGTACACTACACTCTGGCCCAGCTCAAATGGATGGATGGAGTGAAAGAGCTTTGTCTCGCCGCATTTGGAGTGGCCTAATCTTTGGCCCTGCCACTGCCGGGCATTGAATCGGGCTTGTTGGATACCAGTCAAGCCAACATTTGCTTGATAGAATATGGTTTCTCTACTTGAGAAGTCGATTTTAATGAGCAAGGTGCCAAAGAAACTAGAGTTTTCTACTCGGGAACTCGTTTCCTAGGCCATTGTTTAGTGTTTCGGGCACTGTTTCTACGGTATATGGTGGTGTCATCACCAACGTGACGACTTATGGGCAATCTCGGTTCTTGCGAATGCCAGGCCTGGGCAAATTTACATGTTGGTTTGTGCTGTGCTTTGTCTTCCACGGACAAAGTCCTCGAACAGCACACACACAAGTCTATACAGTATAGTGTCCACTACGCAAACTTGAGACCGCCACCAACACACACACACACATGACACTTGATCTTTAGCAAGTGAGCTGTGAGATCACTGACGAGCAAACATGGCAGTGATGGATGCGAGAGAAAAGAGAGATAAAGAAAGAAAACGGAATCCAAAGCTTCGCATTCCTCGCCGTTGCGAAACAGCAAAGTTTCACCAGAATCGATCCAATTCCCAAGCAGCAGTGATGATCAGTTTGTCACGATCGATTGCGATGAATCGAGGAAGGTAACTTTGTTTGTGACGGTTTAATCGGTTTTCTCCCGCTCCAACCTTTTCTTCCTTTTCTAGAAAATTTTCCAGTTGTTCGTTGTGTGTGAGTTGTAAGTTTGTGTCGTTTCATCCTGGTCCACTAGACAACCAGCGCTTCGATTGCCATGTGAAGATCATAAAAACCTCTCCTTGTCTCTCTCCCACCAAGTGGTCACTGCGAAGCCCTCTAGCCGATTGATTGATGATCGTTGTATTCAATCAATCAATCCCTTTTCTCTGCGCACATTTGTCTTGTGAGGCCTGCTCTGGATCGCAATGAATCCTTTGATCGTTGTAGCTCGCTCGCAGCAGCCGAATTGATTGATCCCGTCAGTGGCAGCGGCACGCGATTGGATCGTCCAGTCCAGCGCTTGTCGTTTTGGTCCTCATTGAAAATTTTCAACCGATATCACGAGCACCGCAGTTGCCCAGCGCCAGCGACAGCGATGAATGAATCAATCAAGAGCTTTCGCATTAAATCGACGGAACCGTACTATGCGAGTACCCAATCATCGCCCAAATGATCCAGGCCGGCCTCCAGAGCCTGCCTCCCAACACCCCTGTTCGCCGCATTCAAACCCGAGAGCTCAAATTCCATTCGCCCACGTAAGCTTTAATGCGGAGTCAGCGTCCTTGTCAGCCCTAGCTTTTTGAAAACAATCCCGGAATATCTTTTAGGGTTTTAGAGCGCTCCAGCGATGGCGGAGGGAGGGGCGCTGCGATTCCTCCAGCAGCTGAGGGATCTCGAGCGGCTGGGCGTGCCGAAGGACGCAGGCACAGACACGAGCAAGGGGTTTGATCTTGGGAGAATGCGCCGCCTGGTTTCTAGCCTCGGGAATCCTCTCTCGAAATTTCCAGTAAGTGCGATGGATTGGCGTCTCTCGATCCAATACGGGGCATGTTTCAGGTAGTGCACGTCGCTGGCACCAAAGGAAAGGGATCGACTGTTGCGTTTCTCAGCAGCATTTTGCGTGCTGCTGGGTTCTCCGTGGGAACTTATACGAGGTAAGTTTTTCGATGTAAAACGATCAAGCTCATGCGATTTTCGCAGCCCGCATTTGAGGAGCATTCACGAGAGAATCTGCGTGGGAAAACCAATCTCGACAAATGGATTGGATGATTTGTTTTGGGGTGTTCGTGAATCATTGCTGAAAGTAATTGAAGCTGAAAACCATACGCTTACTCATTTCGAGGTGAGATGCGTGCTAAGGTGAGGCATGGCTTTTTCTCTCTTTTTTTCTCAAGTGATTCACTGTTGGTTCCATCGTCCATTTGCAGGTTTTTACCGCCTTGGCATTCAAGTACTTTGCACAAGAGAGTGTAGACATTGCCGTTGTTGAGGTTAGTCACAGTTTCTTTTTTTTTTCTTAAGCTGTTCTTTCTTAAGTTCTTAGGCAGGTCTTGGTGGCGCAAGGGACGCTACGAATGTGATTGATTCGGAAGGCCTTGCAGCGTCCGTCATTGTTTCAATTGGCGAAGAACATCTGGAAGCGTTGGGCGGAAGTCTAGAAACCGTCGCTTTAGCGAAAGCCGGTATTATCAAGGAAAGACGTCCGGTATGTTTTTTTTTTTGCACGTATCTTAAACGCTAAGATTTTGCTATCAGGTTGTTCTTAGTCGTCAGGTGAGCCCTGTTGCCGAGAGTATCATAAGGACACAGGCATCGGCAAGGAATGCTCCCGTCTTTAGTGCCTTTGGGAAGGACGTACATGGATTTATCAAAAGCATTCGAACGGATGAAAGTGATTGCTTTCAAGTTTGCAATATGCGTATACGATGTGCAGGCGAGGTAAACCTCTTTCATGCTTTCTTTCTTCTTTTATTTTTGTTCGAGTGTCCTCAGCAGCTTTAACTCTGGCATCTGCAGGATTTATTCTTAGACAATTGTAGAATGCGTATGTTTGGTTCTCATCAAGTGGACAACGCGTTAACAGCAATCTGTGCTGCACTGTCCCTTCGAGTGGAAGGTGGTGTTTATTCACGACATTTTCATTTGCTTACTTGTTGAATGTGTAGGCTGGCGTATCCCAGACGCGGCGTTTCAAACGGGCCTGGAGCAAACAAATATATTGGGGAGGTTCCAGATTCTCACCCATGAACAAGTAAAGAGCCTCGGGTTTACTTCAACGAGGGTCATATTAGATGGAGGTAAGAAAAACTCCTCGCAAATCCGAACTTGAGATGGTATTTCTTCCATGCAGCACATACTCCCGGATCAGCAGCAGCACTAGGAACCACCTTGAAAACTGCATTTCCCTCGCGACCTCTCATACTGGTGACCGCAATGGCTTTGGACAAAGATCACTTGAAATTCGCGTCTGCGTTCTCCGATGGTCAGCCAAGTTTCTAGTTATTCTCTTCTTTATCTAAGACTTTTGTCCAGATGCAAGACCAACCCTGGTAGTCGTCACTACTGCGGACGTGGCTGGAAGCAGTGTGAGGTCTGCCACTACAGAAGCTCTTGCGGAAGCATGGAGTAAAGTCAAGCCTGAGATCGCCGTGGAAATCTCCAAGTCAGTCGTAGATGCTCTAGCGACTGCCAGGAAAGCTGCGGATTTGGATCCTGGAAGCGTTGTCTGCGTCACTGGCTCACTGCATCTGGTTTCGGCCGTGCTCAACTTGGTCAGTGCGTGACATTCGCTCCTCGGAAAGGTTGGAGCTGTGAAAGGATAAGTATATCATCCGGATTAGATATCATATGTTCTCTCCAAAGTCTTGTTTGATTCGATATAACATAAGTCTTTGTTTGAAGGTGACACTGGTCCTAATAACAAAATATTCTCGCAGATCAAAAAGGCCCCGCAAAAGCGTGACATTTGGGTGTGCCAAGATCAAAAAGGCCCCGCAAAGGTGCTAGATTTGGGTGTGCCAAGAACGACCGCGCTGGTAAAACTTCCCTGTGAATGTGAGAGGAGTTGACAAAAGCTCATGTGATGATCATAAACTTTGCATAGCTGGAAATTTGGCTTCCTTTCCTTCTTCCCGAGAAGCTGTTTTCCACCGCGGGGCATTCCTATAAACAATTCTTTCACGTCATGTGGAACTTCTCACCGTACGCTGCGTCTCTTTCCACATTGTCTCTTGGGTGGGAAGAACCTGAAAGACACACCGGCGCGAACCGGAATTGCGCAATCGGCCGAAATGGGTCGCTTTGCGGGGGTCAAACGCGCCTGCCCACCAAGAAATCCCGATCGCCCACTAGCAAAATTGAAAGCTCCCACTGTGCTCTGTTCCGCCGCTGGCATACATAAGCTCCAGGCCCCGGGCAGGAGCACTCAAGCATTCGAGGCAGCGCCAGTCCTTGTGCTTTGGAGCTGCGCCCCAACCACTGTTACAATTCGCTGGTCGCGCTGTGATTGATTGATTGGCATTTCGGTGTGTTCTTGAGTGATCCATCGCGTGGGATAGATAGACAGAGAGGAAATTATAAGATAGTCTCTTCTTTCTTTCTTTATCTGGATTGGGTTTAACTGTGGTAATAGTCGCGGGAGTATATAGGGCCGCCTCCTCGCTGCCCCAAAACACCATCCATCTTTTCCATCGTCTCCAGAGCTCACTTTAAGCCAAGAGCTTCTCATCTATAAGTCGCTCTCTCCAAATTCTCTGCAATTCAATCGTATAGAATGGCGGTTCTTGCGAAGATTGGCAGCTTCTTTCGATCGGCCTCCAAGAAGGGGCTCAGTCTCGAGAGATCTAGCTCGTCTAGCAGCAGCGCGAGCAGCATGAGCAGCCATGGGTCATGCTGCTACGACAGCGACGAAGATGCCGATTTCTCCATCCCGGCCGATGTTCCAAAGGGGTGTATGGCGGTGATTGTCGGGAGCTCCGAGAAGAAGAGGAGGAGATTCGTGGTTGGCACGCACCTCCTCACGAATCCAGTGTTTGGAGTTCTTCTCCAGAGGGCGGCGGAGGAGTATGGATACAGGAACTCCGGAGCTCTCGAGATCCCATGCGATCCAGTCCTGTTTGAGCACTTTCTATGGCTTCTCAGCAACGACGATCCCGCCGCTGCGATGCTCGAGGTGAACGATCTCATGGCCTTCTACTCGTGAAGGGATCCACGGAAGAGGTGGTTTATAACAGTGGATCCAAGATCTAGCTCGAGGTTCCTCAAATTTTCATCTTTTCTCTTGGGGGCTCCAAGGGCGATCGATCCTCCACTGGGGTGATTGAGCCGGTCGAAGAAATTGCGGCGCCCCAAGTGCTGGAAGAGGGGAAAACGAAAAGCCACCCATCATGCGTGGCTGGATCTCGATCGACCAATTTCCTCTCTAGTTTTGATCATTTTGATCACAAACAAGAGCCTGGATCTAAAGCAAATGTATATAAAATTTCTCAATCAAGCAAAGGCATTTAAAGCATACTGGTGGAATCGCTTTGGCTGTGTGGAAGTTAGCAAGCTTTTTCTTCCATGGCAGTAGCGAATTTAATGCGCAAACGAACGATCCACCATCCATGAGCAATGGCACCACCAGAAAAAGAAGGAACTTCCAAACCAGGCTTATAAATTACGAGCAAACGACATGGATTCGTACGCTTCCCATGTGGAAACTTTGCTTTCCAGCGTCAACCTTTGGCACCAACCTAACTGCCATGCTCTGGAGCTTGCAGAAAACCATAGAAAACCATAGAAAACTGAAAACTATGTCGAGAACAGTGATGTTCTTCCATTAGAAAATTTGGGGATTTTTCTATCTTGCGGCGGAGGGAAAAGATCCAATCCAACTTGCGTTGGCGTGTGCCAACTTCATTGAATTGTTTAGATCCCGGTTTTGGGATTTCAATGTGTTCTTCGCAGTTGGCAGCGTGTGATCTAGTTATAGCGGCGTGTTGAATTTTTGGATCCATTCTCTCGGGGAATAACGATAGTTTCTAGTTCTTTGGATCGTTGTTTATTTTTTTTGGATCGAAACGTGGAGCTAGCTACTAGCCAAGCTAGATTGCGCGTGAAGTTGGCATGAGAAGCTGACACTACGATAGAAAATTCTTGGGAGAAAATGGGATGGATCTCTGGCAAGATCGTGATCATGTGCACAACGGAATAGAAAAGAGCTGATCCAACACCAATCTCAGCTCCAAACAAAAGATCTTCGAATTTCTTAAAGTTGCAAGCGATCGATCATGAGAGGGTGATTGATCATTATCATTCTTCCCAAATTTTTGTGAACATGAAAGTACAGTGATTGTTATTTGCGATTGAATCAAACACTAGTGTGACAAACCGATTCTTGATCTTGTTCTTGAAAGACAAGCCTGGAAAATAGGCGATTTTTGGAGATGATAGATAACGGTCAAGTGACAAAGAGGGCGACCATGGAAGCACGCCTCACAAGAGCTCTTGAATTCCTTCGAAAGCATTCTATCCTCGCCTCGCGACCGCCAAAACGATGAGAACGAATTCCTTGATGATCTATCACGAGCTGTAGAAATTGAGAAGCTCGTCCACCTCGATCCTGGCAGCGGCGGGATCGTTCCTTCCCAGCAACCAGATGAAGTGCTCAAAGAGCACGGCCTCGCAAGGGATGGTGAGAGCCCCCGGCGATTCGAATCCATACTCCTCGGCCGCGCGATCCAGCAGCGCCCGGAACAATCGATTGCTGAGGAGCTGAGTGGATACAACGAAGCGCTGCCTGTCGCCGCCGCTGGCGCTCGAGCCCACGTAGACAGCCAAGCATCCCTTTGGAACGTCCCGCGGCGGCTGATCCAGGTCGCCATCGTCGTCCAGATCGAGATCATGGTGATGGGCGGTGAAATCCAGGTTGTGGGGCTTGATCTTGGAGACGAGACGCTGCATCTTGGCTCCCAAAATCGGCATTTCTCTCTTCGCTCTCTGCCAAGATCCCGCGAAATTTAAAATCTTGGAAGAACCCTAAATCTGCTGCTATCGATGGAATGGATCGATTGATCGACTCTACGGATGGAATGCGAAGAGATTGTGGCCGTAGCAAATGATGGAGTGGAATTGGCAGTGCCCAGCTGGGTTTTTATAGTGAAGGGAAAGGGAATGCCCGCCCAGAGAGGAAGAGCGCCGGGCCACCACCATCACGTGGGAGTCACTCTCCGCCTCCACACTAGTAAAAGCGATCGCTGGCGGCAGCGACCACACACCCAAAATCGCGACCCCGTGATCGCCGAGATCTCGCAATTCCCCTCTCCAGTCGATTGATAATATATCTATCCCTCCAAGTGTGTGGCGTGAGAAAGAATGGCGATGGACTTCCCATGGTTTTCACGGGTCGCCAGTTCATGAATCCTCGCGAGAGCGCTTTGATTAATGGAGACCATGGATGGAGTGACTAACAAGAAGTCGCCATCGAATTTGCGGCTCTCCCTCCCCGAGGCTGTGATTGCGAGTGAAACGATGGAATTGGTCCTTTGGATCGCTGCTTTTCCCAGGCCGCTCCACATATGGGAGACTTTAAATGCGAACTTGTGAGAGAACTGGAGGTGGCAGCGTCGCTGGGGAGCAAGCCATGCAAGTTGCGAAGATTGGATGAAAGCTGCGAGGAGAAGAAACCATAGCCAAAAACCATGGATAATTCATGACTACCATAAATTCAATCCATCATCCACTGGCAGGCAAGAAACAAACCAGGACTGGCAAGGAGAGAAAGAAGAAAATTTAAAGGGAAACACCATCAATCAAGACTGAAAACTCTTGCCTGTCAATTTGATTCGCAGAGAAAAAAAAAAAGAGCTCGTTTTTCTATGAAAGACAGACCTGATCCAACACTCGCTCGATAAGCCCATTAAATTTCTCGTCATGAATCTTTACGATCGATCTTTCTCGTCTTTACAGATATAGCTTACAAGTGTTCTTTCCGGAGGTCCTACCCTGGGCCTGGAATGAATGCTATACACTTGAAACTTAGCACGAGTCGTACCTCCCTCGCAACTCTAGCAATCGATCAATCCTATCTGGAAATCATCGGCCACCTCGCCTGGCCATCCGGGGATTTTTGCACATCCTCACGCTCACTGGAGTTACTTCAACCAGCTCGTCCTCTTCAATGTACTCGACGCAGTCGTCCAGGCTAAAGTCTTGTGGTGCATCCAGCACAACTGCGAGAAAGAAAAAAGTTGGGAAAGAAGAACGAGTCAAAAAGATGATGAAGTACAAAGGGATACAAAGAGGACATCGGACAATACCAGTTTGCTCCTTGTTGGACCGGATATTGGTGGCTGCTTTCTTCTTGCAGACATTGATGGAAAGGTCGCCTGGCCTCTGGTGGATGCCAACAATCTGTCCTTTGTAGACTTCCACACCAGGATCCAGAAAGAGTTGTCCTCGCTCTTGACAGCTGCAAAGAGCGTAGGATGTTGTTTGCCCAGTCTCAAAGGCCACCTGCAAGAAACACAGTGAGAGTGAGGTGACTTCGCTGACAAAAGCCTGGAAGAACTAGCTAGCAAAAGATGTTGAATTGTTCCTCCTACTTTTCTTTGGAACATGCATTCTGGTGCTTACCAGCGATCCTTGTTCCCTGGTGCTAATATCACCAACGAATTCTTCGTAGCCGTGGAAAACAGTGTTGAGGATGGCCGTGCCTCGGCTCGCGGAGAGGAGGGAGTTTCGGATCCCCAAGAGGCCTCTGGTCGGGAGCCTATACTTTAAGATGGTGTTTCCAAGTCTGGAGAACCAACCAGAGAACTAGTAAGCTTTAAACTTAAGCTTTAAACTACTTCACTTACTCCGAGGCTTGCATGTCGAGCATTTGTCCACGGCGTTTGCCGAGAAGATCAACTGCGGCTCCAACGTACTGCTCGGGAACTTCAACAATAGCATCCTATCCAAGTTTTTGTGCTTTGCTCGTAAGTAGCAGAAAGAATTTTTTGCGAAGAACAAAGTACCTCGTAAGGCTCGAGTTTCTTTCCGTTCAGCACTTTATGGATTACTCTGGGAGGACCAACCATGAACTCGTACCCCTCTCTCCTCCTGCACGACAAGAATGAGAAATATGAAAAACAAAGCAAGAACTTACATGTTTTCGATCAAAATTGTTATGTGAAGTGTGCCTCTTCCACTGACAATGAATGTCTCAGCAGTCTCGCCGTCTTCTACTTTCATCGCAAGGTTTCTCTCAAGCTCGCGATAGAGCCGATCACGTAAATTCCTACTGGTAACGAACTTTCCCTGCAACCAAGACAAGAAAAATAAATCACCTCACAAACACGAAAGCAAGTGAAAGTAGTTTACAACCTCTTGCCCGGAAAATGGTGAAGTGTTCACAGAAAAAGACATCTTCACCGTGGGCTCCTCTACTTTAATGGAAGGAAGTGGTACGCCATTTGCCTTGTCTGCCACCGTTTCTCCAATCTGTGGAGTAAGAAAGAAACGTGAATCTCTCGCACTCTAAGTCGGTGAAGCTACTTGCCATAACATCGTTGATCCCAGCAAAAGCGCATATATCACCAGCCACGACTTTAACGGCTGGAACTTTCGCAAAGTTCTCAAAAACAAAGATCTCGCTCACTTTGCCAACCCTGTCAGCTTCATCCGGCTTACAAATCTGAGAAAGAAGTGAGGGATTTCTTCCAAAAGAGAAGCACAGCACCAAAGCTATCACATACCTTGACTTCGCCCTTGGTTAATGTGCCAGCGTTCACTCTTCCAATGCCAATGCGTCCCTTGTGCTCATCATAATCCAAGTTGGTTATCTGAGGAGCATGAAACGATCAAACAATCAAACCATATCGACAGAACATTTGGCAAGGAACTTACAAGCATTTGGAGAGGGGCGTCTATTTGCACGCGGGGCTCAGGAATGCAACGAAGAACGGCCTCGAAAAGAGGCTCCAGGTCGTTCCCAAGAGCATCTGGTTCCAGGCCAGCTTGTCCTTTGAGGCCACTCGCATAGATTACTTGAAAGTCACACTGTAAAGCAAAGAAACCATTGGAAACAGCATTGCACTCCGAGAGCTTACTTGCTCGTCAGAAGCCTCGAGCTCCAAGAACAGCTCGAAAGTCATGTTGATAACGTAGTCCGGCCGAGCTGCTGGCCTGTCCACCTTGTTGACAACAACAATAACTCTATGGCCGAGCGCCAGAGCTTTCTTGAGAACAAATCTCGTTTGTGGCATGGGACCTTCCACAGCGTCCACCTAAAAGAAACAAAGAACTTTGAGACAAAGTTTCTAGATTGCTTCCAAGTTGGCATGGAAGAGAGAGTTCTTACGAGGAGAAGAACACCGTCAACCATGTTAAGAACACGCTCCACTTCTCCTCCAAAGTCCGAGTGACCCGGTGTGTCGATGATATTGATCTTCGTCCCCTTGTACGTGATGGCCGTGTTCTTGCTGAGAATTGTAATCCCTCGCTCTCTTTCCAAATCATTGGAATCCATGATTCGCTCTTGGACTGTTTGGTTGTCCCGGAAAACCTTCACTCGTGCAAGGAGAACCATATGCAAAAGAAAGAAAAGAAAACGAACTGCTCTACCTTGGATTGTCGAAGCATTCCATCCACCAGCGTGGTCTTGCCGTGATCGACATGAGCGATGATGGCGAGGTTCCTTATATCAGTCCTCAAGTCCAGCTTCTTTGGAGCGTCCTTGACTAGATGGAAACAAGAAAAGACTATGAGATGAAAATCCTCTAGAGAATAGAAGTTCTTCCTCACCTTGGACTGATTCCTCGGTTGTGGCAACTCGGCATCGCGGCGCCGGAGCAATCCTACGCAAATTGAGCTGCAGCGATCGCTTCCGGAGCGCTCCAAGCTCGAGCTTGTCGACAATCAGCCGCTTCTCCTCGGAGAATCTAGCCAAAACTCTACTGCTACCGCTAATGCTGCCGGTGCTGCTTGTGGTGGTGGACTGGAGTAGCCCTCTTGAGGCGGTGGCGGCAATCTCCATCGCCATCGTGGAGCACCGGAGCAAAGAATGGGAGGAACAAGGAGGAGAAAAATGCCCTCTCTTTTCCGCGGTAGAAAGGAAGGAGGGTTTTTGTCCACCAGTCGCTTAAACCCTTGGGCGACGATTCTCTGCTTCATACCACACGCTTGCTATCGCCATTACCGTCAGCCCTAAAATATTCTCCTTTGTAGAAAGGGTTTTAGGGTTTAGGGGGTTTTAGGGTTTACACGAGAAGGATTAAGGGCTATGGCCGCGGCGGTGGCGATGCCGCCATCGTCTCCAGCATACAGGTATGGCAGCCATTTAAGCTACGGCGCCATCGCCGCAGATGAGGGCCGCACAGGTAGAGCTTCCAGAGCCCGAGAGAATGAGGCTAGGCAAGGCGACTATACAGAAGACAAGGATTTGGGACGGTGTGGAGGGACTTACATTCCTCCCTCCAAGCTCGCCCAGATGATGGGCGACGTGAAAGACAAGGCGAGCGTTGCGTACCAGAGGATGGCCTGGGAGGCTCTGCGCAAGAGCATCAATGGTCTCATGAACAAGGTGAGCGCTTCCAACGTGGAAGACATCGCCAGGGAGCTGATCGCTGAGAACTTGGTCCGGGGCAGGGGATTGTTCGCGAGGTCGTGCATGAAGTCGCAGATGGCATCTCCGGCCTTGACGCACGTCTTTGCCGGGCTAGTCGCGGTGATCAACTCCAGGTTTCCAGCTCTCGGAGGGCTACTGCTGACGAGAATCATCCTCCAGTTCCGCAGGGTCTTCAAGAGGAATGACAAGCCTGTTTTGCTCTCTTTGACGAAGCTCCTGGCGCACCTGGTGAATCAACGCGTCGCGCACGAGGTGATTGCGTTGGAGCTGCTCATGCTGCTGCTGGAGACTCCAACGGATGATAGTGTGGAGGTGGCTGTGGGATTCCTTAAGGAATGTGGAGCGTATCTGCTGGGGATATCGCCCAAGTGCTTCCAGATGGTCTTCGATCGGCTCCGAGCTGTGCTTCACGAGGGAGAGATCGACAAGCGTGTCCAGTTTATGATCGAGGACGTCTTTGCTCTGCGCAAGTCCAACTTCCAGGGGCATCCAGCGATCATGCGAGAGGTGGATCTTGTCGTGGAAGGTGACCAGGAGACGCACCAGATCTCGCTCCTGGACAAGGACCTGGATCCAGAGAGCGGCCTTGACATATTTTCTGAGGATCCGGATTACTTGGAGAACGAAAAGAAATACGAGGCCATCAAAAGTAGCATTCTTGGAAAGCAGGAAAAGAATGGCTCGGAGCCGAATGATCCCGACGATGGCGAAGACGAAGAAGAGGAAGAAGATCCTTCGCAGGGCATTCAAGACGTCACTGAAACAGATCTGGTGAATCTCAGGCGGACCATCTATCTGACGATCATGTCCAGCGTCGGGTTTGAAGAGGCTGGGCACAAGCTGTTAAAGATGGAGATGGAACCAGGCCAGGAGAAAGAGGTATGTATCATGCTTCTGGAATGCTGCTGCCAAGAGCGGACGTACCAGAGATACTACGGGCTTTTGGGACAGAGGCTTTGCATGATCAACCAGACGTTCCAGCAGCAATTTGGCGAGTGCTTCCTCGGCCAGTACGCAGCAATCCACAGGCTCGAGACCAACAAGCTCAGGAACGTGGCGAGGTTCTTCGCGCATTTGCTAGCAACGGACGCTCTCCCGTGGACGAGTCTCGGGTACATCAGCTTGAGCGAGGAGGCGACGACGTCGTCGTCTCGCATCTTCATCAAGATCCTCTTCCAGGAGCTCGCGGATCACCTGGGATTGCTCAAGCTGAAGGCGCGCCTAGACGACGAGCAGATGCGAGGAAGTGTGGCCGGCATCTTCCCGCGAGATAACCCGAAGAGCACACGCTTCGCCATCAACTTTTTAACCTCCATCGGCCTAGGTGGTCTCACGGATGGCTTGCGGGAGTTCCTCAAGAGCTTGGAGAGCCATTGCTCGTCGGAATCATCGTCTTCTTCTTCTAGCGAATCCGAGTCTGATGAGGATGAGGTAAGTAGAAAGAGGAGGAAAACGTAGAGTTTTCCAGGTAGACTCGACGATTTTGATACTTGAAACTCTAGAGCGATCATCAACCATGTAACACTTGGTTGGCAAAGGAGAGCGATCTCGATTTTCCATGAGAAACCTCACAACCTTGTGACTATCGCGCAATCTCGCAAGAATGCTAGAAGGATGGAGTAAAAATCTTCTTTTTTCTCAAAAACCAATCGCTTGGATATTACTTCGCTTTGATCTGGGCCATGGAAGTTCTCTCGAATTCTTGTGGCGCGGTCGTGTTTGGAGCTCGTGGGCGACGAGAGCTCGCGATGCTGTAGCCCACGTCCCCAAGAGCTCGAGATTGACCACTATGGCCGCGGTTTGCAATCCCGAGCTCTTGATGCATGGCTTCCTGGGCAGGAGGATCAAGGTGAGAATGAATCCTAGCTCGGATCTTGCTCACAGCGGCAACGCGATCGTGGCGGCCTTGAGCCGCGAGGACTGCAATCCATTGGGCCACAGGGAGCTGGGGAAGAAGGTGGTGAGCTGGGTGGGGCGAGGAATCCAGGCTATGGCGGCCGAGATCGCCGAGGCGGAGAGGGCGCGTGATTTGGCTGGAGTGGAGGAGAGAGTGGGAGTCGGGGAGGAGCTCGTGAGGCTCGTCCAGCCATTTCTCGACAGGGTGGAGCTTCCAGAGGGCCTGGAAGATGAGTGCCAGCGAGCCAGGAATCACTATCCCACTCTCTATGATCACTTCCAGCGAGAGCTCAAGAACTCTCTGGTGGATCTCCAGGAGCAAGGGAGTGTCGAGGAGTGGCAGGAGACGGATTCGTGGAAGTTGTTCAAGAAGAGATCAAAATCCGGTGAGCGTTCTTCTTCTTCCTTGTCATTCTCTTTGATCAGGGATCGATCATACCGACCGATCATTCTCGGTGGAGCTAACGTGATTTGGATTGAAATCTAGGCCAGCATCGAAGCTCCGCGAGGATCAAGGTGGCGAAGAAGAGTTTTAACGGGTTGAGCGAGGAGGTGGTGGCGGGGATCCAGAGCAAGGTAGACGCTTTCGTAGATCGATACCTCGAGCTCTTGAGCGTAGAGAGACAGGCCGAGTTGGCTGCCACACAGCAAGCACTCGATGGAAGCAGCAAGAAAAAGCTGAGCTCCGGCTGCGGTGACGAAGAGGATCACGAGGAGGAGGAAAAGAGTTCCTCGAGCTCTTCGAGTTCTTCCATCTTGCATGAAGAGTGTGGTGCATTGTGCGACCTGGTTGCTGTCAGTTCCTTCAAAGGTCTCATCATTTTCTCCCTGTGAGGTTGAGCATGATCGATGCTTGAGAGCATATGTCGATCGCATTCCTTCCTTTCATGGTTTCTTCTAACTTTGTGACTGTCTCTTCTTCTCAGGCTTGGGAGGCACTGAAGTGGTGTCCTTTCGATCCAAAAACTCGCAAAACCGGCTTCCTCCGACAAGCCTCTCTCCCGGGGATATGGTCTGTGTGAGAGTTTCGAACAGGCAAGGAATCCCTGCGACTGAGTGTCTGCGAGGCTCCGTTTACAAGCTTTGTGAAGATGGCCAGTTTATCGAAGTAGCTCTTCCCGGTGGAGGCCGGGCGCTGATGAAGCTATCGGGTCGCTCAATACGGATCGACAAGATCTTTGATCTCGCCAACGCAACAACTTACGAGGTGTGTTTCTTTCAGTCAAGGATTTCGGACGCTCAACTTTGCTTGTTTCTTCCCAGCGAAACTGTGAAGCACTCAAGCAACTCAAGAAAGTTGCGGTGAGCAAGGACAATCCAGCAGCTGCCATCGTCGCGGTTCTCTTTGGACAAGGAGAAGAGATCGAAAAACTTGCTCGCGGCAAAGACCAACTTGAAGATACTCACTCGCTGCTTGCGTCAACTTTGTCTGGAGCATCCTTTGACGAGTCCCAGAGGCGAGCGATCCAGCTCGGGCTGGACAAGTCGAGGCCAGTGGCCGTGATCCAGGGGCCTCCGGGGACAGGAAAAACGAACGTAGTGACGGAGATCATCATCCAGGCCGTGGCTCGCGGTGACAAAGTTCTTGCGACAGCCCCTACGAACGCAGCGGTGGATAATCTCGTCGACCGGCTCAGCGACACGAGCTTGCGGGTTGTTCGCGTCGGGAATCCTGTGAGAATGTCGCCCTCGGTCGTCTCCAAATCGCTCACTCACATCGTCAGCTCCGAGCTCGTCGACTTCAAGCGGAGCATTGCCAGCGACAAAGCCGCCTTGAGGAGAACTTCGATGCGGTCCCAGGATGGCAAGATCAAGGCGGAGGTAGACAAGAACTTGCGGAGGCTAGACAAATCCATGAGAAAAAAGGAAGAGGAGATCCCAGCCGCGGTCCTGGCGGCAGCCCAAGTTGTCCTGTGCACGAGCATTGGAGCTGGCGATCCTTCGCTTCGCAAAACCGGGTTATTCGACCTGGCGGTGGTGGACGAGGCCGGGCAGGCGATGGAACCGTCGTGCTGGATTGGAATTCTTCGCAGCTCGCGCGTGGTTTTGGCCGGGGATGCCTGTCAGCTGGCACCAACGGTATTTTCAGCTGAAGCCGTGGATGGAGGCCTCGCAACTTCGCTGATGGAGCGAGCGTCAACGTCGCTGGGCCACTCCGCGGTGATGACCACGATGCTCCAGGTCCAGTACCGGATGAACGAAGCCATCGCGAGCTGGGCGTCGAGCGAGATGTATGGAGGATTGGTGAAGACCGCTCCATTGGTGGCCAAGCAAGTTCTATCGGATTCACCACAAGTCAAGGTACTTGGACTTTCTTTCTTCTTCGACTTTCTTCTTCTTCTTCCATGGCAGGAAAAAGAGAGATTTTGTTTTTCGATTTCTTACACTTTGATTGCGTGCTTTCATAGGAGACGTGGAGGACACGAGCAGCCATGCTGTTGCTGGATACAAGAAAAGCGTTTGGAAGCCTGGCGATGGGATGCGAGGAGTGCATGGACTACTTGGGAACGGGATCGTTTTACAACGATGGGGAAGCCGACATTGTTGTGGAGCATGTCAAAGCTCTCATCCACTCAGGTTGCCTTCGTTCTCCTCTTTTTACTACGATTTTATTGATCAATCGTATCGTTCTAGCTGCTTAATGGATCGGCAAAAGATGGTTTTTTCATTGCTGAGTTCTTCGCTTTTGACATGCAGGAGTTCCCGCAAGTTCTATTGCCGTACAATCGCCGTACCTGGCACAAGTCCATCTCTTGAGAGCCAGGCTCGACGAGGAAAGCCTGGGAAATATCGTACAGACCGAGAGCATCGACAGCTTTCAGGGACGAGAGGCCGATGCTGTCGTGATTTCCATGGTAAAATCTCCCTCTTTTTTGCTTTTGGATCTTGTAAAAATCTTTCTTTTTGATCTTGCGTGATTGCATTCCAGCCAGATAGTCTATATCTCAGGATCAACTCCTCTGTTTGTCCAGGTGAGATCGAACGAGCTGGGAGTGGTCGGATTCCTGGCCGACAAGCGGAGGATCAATGTGGCGGTGACGAGGTCGCGCAAGCACGTCGCGATTGTGTGTGACAGCTCCACGGTTGGCTCCAATTCATTCCTCCGCCGTCTCCTCCAGCACATTCGCGCTTACGGGATCGTCGTGGTACGCGAGCAGGAGGAACAGCGATCGTACTCCTCCTCCACCTAGTGATTGATCGAGTGATTGATTCAATATAAGAGAATCGTATCGCTTTAGCTTGTTGATGCAGGCGTACAGGAGCACAACAGCACACCCGGCGTCACGTCCAGGCTTCCTCAACAGGTTCACAGACCTCAAACCTGAGGAAGTGAACCCCTCGGCAGAGAAAGAGTTAAAGCAAGTAGATTCCTCATCTCTTTCACAGTTACAGTTTCCACTGTAGGAAAACTATGCTTCAGTGCTTGAGAACAAGACGAACCTTTGCTTACTTCACTGTTGGTCATTCAATATTGGACGTCGTCTAAGCTGGAATGTGCTGGATGAAGTAGAAAGAGGAGGAAAATGTAGTTTTTTCCAAGTACACTAGACGATTTTGATACTTTGGAACGATCAAATGGGCGAAATGAAGAGTTTTGTTAAAGAAAATCGAGATCACTCTCCTTTTGTTATATGATCAATAAATTAAGTGTCAGAAGCGCCGGTGAGCGTTCTTATTCTAGATGGCAAAAAAAAGTTTCAAGGGATTGAGCGTGCAGATGGTGGCGGGGATCCAGCAACATAGACGCTTTCGTAGATCGATGCTGGCCTAGGCAAGAAAAATCTTAGCTCCCGCTGCGGTGAAAAGCATGAGGACGAAAAAAGTTCCTCGAATGCATGAAGAGCGGGGATCTGGTTGCTATCAGTTCTCATCATTTTCTCCTTAGTGTCAATCGCATTCTTTGTTTCATGGTTTCTAACTTTGTCATGGTCTCTTCTTCCCAGGCTTGGTAGGCACTGCAGCGGTGTCTTTTCGATCGAACCTAGCAAAACAAGATCTTTGATCCCGCCAAGGCAACAACTTACGAGGTCTGTTTGTTTCATCAAAGGATTATGCTTCCAACGCTCAGCTTTTCTTGTTTCTTCCCAGCGAACCTGTGAAGCAACTCAAAAGAGGTTGCGGTGAGCAGCAGCGTGGCAATGGGATACGACGGTTCTCTCTTCTTTGTTTGCTATGATCCTGGTCATTTATCGTCAAAGGAATGTCATTGATATCGACGGTCTGGATGATGTTTCTAGATGAGAATAAAGGCAGCGGGTCATTACTAGGGGTATGGGAAGACCAATAGAGGAGGAGGAGGAGGATCCGGCGTTGTTGCGCTTGTTTGAAGAGTGGAAAGAGAAGTGGCACAAGAGTTACTCCAGTGCAGAGGAGGAGGCGTATCGCTTTGGGTTGTTCAAGCAGGCGTACAAGGAGATTGAGGAGCACAACAGCACACCCGGCGTCACGTCCAGGCAGGTCCTCAACAGGTTCACAGACCTCAAACCCGAGGAAGTGAACCCTCGACGACGGAGTCTAGAATTACCTCTTGAAGATGACAGTCATGCACAAGAAAAATGATATTTAGAATTCCACCTAAAGCAATTTCTAATTTTCTCTTGTCTCTTGGATCTTCTTTTAAGGATGGTTATGTTGCGTGACGTTTTCTTTACTTGCTTTGGGGGCTTCTTTTTTCTTTTGCTTGATCACGGCATCCTTTCCACCCCGAACTCTGGGACTTGTCGAAAAGACACTCTGAATTTTTGGTTCCATTGCAAGAGTCCTAATTATAAGCGAGCGGTTGCATGCAAGCGGTCGCATGCGCCTTTGTAGCCTGGCCTTTTTTCATCACCAAAGTCGTGCGGTAGGATGGTAACATCAAGACGTAAGTGCGGCGGCTCAAGACGAGTGTTAAATTGAGCGGGTTTTCACAAAACAGCTAGCGGTGGTGGACGAGGCGGGGGAGGCAATGGAGGCGTCGTGCTGGAGGAATTGTTTGCAGCTTGCGTGTTCGCAACTTCGCTCATGGAGCGTCAACATATAAGACGGTGATAAGCGCAATGCAGTCGAGCAGGTTTTTTTCACCAACACCATATATTCAAAGAATCTGAGAGATAAAATCCTCTGTACACAAGCAAGCAATTAAAAGTGTTGTCGAAGTGTAGGAAATCGAGATCTAAGCCATAGAGACAAAGAAAAAAAAAAACATAGAGCCATACTGTTGCTGGATACAAGACAAGCGTTTGAAAGCCTGGCAATGGGATGCGAGGAGTGCATGGACCACTTGGGAACTGGATCGTTTTGGAAGCCGACATTGCATGTCAAAGTTCTCATCCTGGACGCAGGTTGGCGTCGCTCTCTCTCTACTCCTTTTGTTTTCGGATGGATCGATTGCACTGGATCGACTATTCATCGCAAAAGATGGTTTTGATAAGTTCCTCGCTCTTTCCATGCAGAAGTTCCCGCGAGTTCTATTGCGGTGCAATCAATGCACAAGTCCATCGTTTGAACTTCAGGAACGAGAGGCCGACGCTTCCAAGCTGTAAGACCTCTCTCCGGTTTTGCTTTTGGACCTCGCTCTCTTTTATTTATTCTTGGTGCCAAAGCAGAAGCATGGTTCCTGCGTGATTGCATTAGCTAGAATCTCCAGCCAGATCTTTAAATGAGGATCACCTTTTCCTCTAAAAAATTCCTCCTCTTTTCTTTCCCTCCTCTGTTTCTCCAGGTGAGCTCGAACGAGCTGGGAGAGTGGTCGGATTCCTGGCCGACAAATGGAAGATCAATGTGGCTGTGTGATGAGGTCGCCCAAGCACGTTGCGTTTGCGTGTCACAGCTCCACAGTCGGCTCCAGTCCATTCCTCCACTCCAGAGCATTCGCGCTCACGGGATGAGTAAGACGAACAGCGATCATCGGCGGGATCGATCGTACTGCTCCATCCAGTGAGTGAACGTGTGATTGATTGGATACATGGAATTGATCGATTGATCCTATACACAAACTTTGGCGTGTTGCTATCTCCATGACGATACTCGCCCGATAAGTCTATTTGTTCTTCTCTCTTTCAGCATCAAGAGGAGGAGCGCTGTACATCACTGCTGCTCGAATGTGGTTTCTATGCCATGATCGATCGATTGATTTATCTAGGAGATGATGTTACAAATCTCTTCTCGAGCAGCGCGCGAGAGTATGAGATCGCGAACGAAAATTCACCCCGAGAGGCTTTTTGTTTCCCTGCGGGAAGATTCATTGGGTCGTACGTCGTCGCGCTCTGGAAGAGAAATCCTCGCAGATAAGAGGGGCAAGAGGATCGATCACCTGGGCGATCGAGGCCCAAATTCACGACGAGCCGCAGCTGAGGAGCTGGCCGATTTGGGCGGCCGGATCATCGCTGTGGTCGAGCAGCCAGACTACGTGCTGGAAGAGGTGCGCGTCGCAGGGAATGGTGAGCGCCCCGGATTCGTAGTGGTAGCCATACTCCTCGGCGGCCTTGTCGAGCAGCGGGCGAAACAGGGGATTGTTGAGATGGGCAGTGCCCACCACGAATCGCCGGCGCTGCTGCTCGCTCCGCCCCACGTAGAGCGCCAGCGATCCCTCGGGCACATCCGGCGGCGCCGCCTCCCCGCAATTGGGCGAGGAGATGGCAGAGGAGGAGCGGCTGCTGAGATCGTCCCACGAGGAGCTGGAGACGCGCTGCAGCCAGTCGGATCCCAGAGCCGAATTGGAGCCGCAGGAATAGGAGCTCCGGCTCCGGGGCGACGACGAGGAGGAATTTCTCTGCTGGAAGAGCGATGCAATGCCACACATTTTCTTGCTCATTGCCCCGCGAAAACGCTCAAACCCCGCGAGTGAAAAATAAAATATATAACCCGCCTTTAAAGAGGAGAGAAGGGAATATAAGCAACGCGGAGAGCCGAGCATCGTGACCGTCCACGTGTCGCGATTTTCGCGGAACCCCATCCTACCCGTCGGTCAAAACTTCGTCTCTTTTCTCGCCTAGCTAGCGGTTGCGAGACAACAAGGAAGAGAGAAAAGATGGCCTCTCAGCAAAAGAGAAAAGCAAATGAGGATAACGATCATACATGCGTAGACAAATTCTCGGCGAGCTCTTCTTTCTCACCTTCGTCTTCGTCTTCTCGGGAAGCTTGGTTCGCTAGTCCCAATAACAAGCGAGCGGACAAAAGACAGGGAAGCCCCACCGAATCTCCAACAAATGCTGCTACGACCTTTTGGATCGGGAAGAGATGAACCAAAGCTCTCGTCGCATCGCGCTACACCGAGGCGATGGAGAGCTCCCCCTCCTGCAAAGATAACCGACGCCACTGTGAGAGAAGCACTGCACTGCAGCGCTGGAAGAAGTCGTTCCAACAATGAATGGAACTGGCGACTTAACTTACCTGGTTGCTCGCAGGCCGCTAACGTCCAGCTCCATCAAAACCAGAGAACTGGCTCCTACTGCTGGAATCCTCGCAGAACTGGAAAAACGAAAAGAAAAAGTGTGAGAAAAGAGAGAGAAAAAAAAGAGAAGAGAGCAACAAGGAGAGGGGCGCAAGGCAACAAGCATTCCACACGGGGATACTGTTGCGGTTTTTTTTCTTTTTTCTTTTTTTGCAGCATTCACTCCAATTGAGACACCCTATCCACCAAACCGTACCTCTCCGTGGCCTTGTTCCGTGCATCCTTTTGTCCCTTGCAACCAACCACCAGCGCCACAGGGCTTGTAAATGCCTCTGTCGATCCGCGATTGATACATTTGGCTTACTATGAACAGGCCCGCTTGATCTGCATGGAAAAACTCGTGTTTTCGTTCCATCAAGCAATGTTAGTAGGGCAAAAGAAAGATCTCTTGCCTCCGTACGACGAATTTTCAACGCCGATGGTAACCAGCGATGAGAAGGAAAAAAAGATTAAAAATTCCAGACGTCCTTACAAGCTACACCGACGTTGATGTCTCAATCTAGTCCCTCTCTTTTCAATATAAAATCTACTGCCTCGACGATGTTATCGACGACCTGAGGAACAAATATCGGAGTTAAGCAAAGAAATCACTCACAAATTCTACCTCATCGGCTGGAAACTCTTCGTCGTTGTTGATTCCCCTGAAGCATCCAGTCCTCACGAGGATTGAAAACCATGGCTTTCCTGCCTAAAGACAACGTTAAGGTGTTGAATTATGCACAATCACACCACCTCCTTTGCACCGCGGATGTCAGTCGCCGGGTTGTCACCAACCATGTAGATCGTTTGCAATGGATCCACAGAGCCAGCAAGTTTCTCCAATTCTTTTCTAACGAGTTTGTACGTCGCTGGTTTTGGTTTCCCGAAAGACGTGTACACCATTGGCATGCCGGTTAATCTGAACACAAGGAATGTGTAAAGAATGCAGAAGCTTCATCACGTTTTACCTGGTATAAACGCTTTCCAGCGCGATTCGAAATGCTCCCATCCCATATCTCACGACGGGAAATGCTGACTGCACATGAAACAAAGATGAATTTTTTTGTTCTTCCAAAAGCTCGAGGAATGCCAGGTGGATTCTTCACCTGATAGATAAGATCATCCGCCGCAAAATATAAAGGCGGAGCCTTTCCACCAACTTTTAAAGGATTGCCTCCACCATTTAGAACATCAGAAACCACCTGCAAGCCAGCACTCCATATTGTCACCGCAATGAAAATCCAGAAACACGACCTGTATATCACGGCCCCAATCAACAGGGTCGCTTACGATAAAAACAGCTTGAACGTCCTGCGATTCCCTCCCTGCCAATGTTGCCGAGCCAGCTCTCGACCACGGCTTGTACTGTTCCAATGGATCAATGCTTTCAAACTCACAAACGTAATCGTCCATCGCAACCACGTTCCTGGTGCAGTACAATAATGCTTGTCAGCGTCGAAGCTCTAGCGAAGAAACACGCTTACATGAACCCGTAGTGCCGCAGCACTTGAGCCGGCTCGCCCTTGCCAACAGCCAGCGTCCTCTTGTCCCGGTAGCTGCATCACGCAATCAGCGTTTACGTCCACTTGTCTATCCGGGCACACGCACAAACATACGTGAAAGTCGCAGTTTAAACCACTGACCAGCTTGCAAGTTCCTTGAAGGAAGTGTGGCTCAAGAACACCTGTACAAACGCGCAGGAGCTTAGAGAAAATGGTGAAGAAAAACAAACATGAAGTACAATCCCGCTTGCCTGATCACTTGACAACTTGATCTTCAGCAATTCGCTCAGCTCCAAGGATTTCTTCTCTTCCGTGTACCCGCCACCTAGAAAAATGCGAAACGATCAGTACGAGAGGAAGAAAGACCATCTTACCGACCGTTTGTGAAAAGTATAAAAGGGACACGAAGCGTGGCTGCAAGGCACAGCAAAGGGAAAAAAAATCAATAAGAGAAGAAGAAAGAGCAACATACGTGCTTTTTGAAGAGGGCTCTTGATAGAGACGAGCAAGGGCCTGCGATGACCCACACAGCGGCTTGTTTGCGCGAACAAGGACGCCATCAATGTCAAAGGCAATGCCGAAAGTACTATGCCTGGATGGGGCACGCAAAGTGACACAAGCATCTCAGCTCACTCCTTCAATCGCGATCCACATTTTTCCATACCTTCGAATCGACAGGAGGAGCGTGGCACAAGCCTTTCTAGAGACGCGACGAGCGAGCGCCATCACTCCCTCCCGCCCTTGCTCTTCGATAAACCCTAATCAAAATTCTTGGCATATGTTTGTTTATACTGAATGGAATTTCTTCTTTCCCTCTCTCTCTATTTCAAAGTCTTTTCCACGTCCAACACGAAACGATACTTCACATCCGATTTGCGGAGGCGTTCCATAGCTTTGTTGACGTAGTCCATGGGGACGAGCTCGATCATGGACGTGACATTGTTCTTGCCGCAGAAATCCAGCATGTCCTGCGTCTCTTTGATTGATCCGATGAAGCTACCGGCAAGCGTTCGACGACCTGGTTGATCCATGGAAACCTTTTAGAACTCGAGGAGATCAAAAGAGTTCGCGTACCAAAGATAATGACTCCTGCCGGAAGATCAAGGGGCTTGTCTGGTAATCCCACCATGACGAGCTTTCCATCGATCTTTAGAAGCTCGAGCAAGGCATCCAGGGGATGCGGCGCAGACACCGTATCGAGGATGTAGTCCATTGTCTCCGCAGCTTTCTGGAATCAAAAACTTAAGAAGTTAGTCCCCAGGAAGGATTGCTCGTTACCTTCATTTGAGCTGCGTCCCGGCTGACAATGAAGTTATGAGCACCCAGAACTTCCCGGGCTTCCTTCTCCTTGTTTGGAGAGGTGCTGATAACTGTGACTTTCATCCCAAAGGCCTTGCCAAACTTGACGGCCATATGACCCAGACCACCGAGGCCGACGACGCCAAAGTTCTTCCCAGGCTGCGTCATGCCAAAGTGCTTCATGGGACTGTAGACGGTGATCCCAGCACACAGCAAGGGTGCCGAAGCGTCCAAAGGAAGATTGTTTGGAACACGGCACACAAATCTGGAGAAGAAAAGAGTTAGACTTGTCTCAGAAACGAGCTGCTAAAGATCCTCACTTACTTCTCGTCTGTCACCATGAATCCCGAGTAGCCTCCGAAAGTGATCTTCCCGTCTTCCAGACTGTTATACGTCCAGATAAGTTGATCGCAGTACTGCTCGTCTCCGTGCTTGCAGTGGTCGCACTTTAGGCAGGAAAACACCATGCATCCCACACCAACGTGATCGCCAACCTTAAACTTCTTGGCACCGGGACCAACCTCGGTGACCACTCCCACAACTTCATGCCTGGTCGATCATCTCACCCAAACGTTTAGTCACCCGGATGTTTCCTTCCAGTGTTCTTGTTTTGGATCTTCCAGTTTATAACCCAGACAGACGGACTGCCTTTCTTACCCAGGAACCATGGGGTATTTGGACGAACCCCACTCGTTGTGGATCAAGTGTAAGTCTGTGTGGCAAATTCCACAATAGGAGATCTTGAATTTCACATCGGTAGAACGCAAGGGTCTGCCATTCCAAAAAGAATGTAGTGATGGAGATGGAATGAGAACGATTCATACCTTCTGGGAAATTTCCATGGAGCTAAGACACCCGAGGAATCCTTGGCGGCCCAGCCAAGGCACTCCGATTCCTTCCCCGTGTTGCTGCTCGGCCGAAACAAAACAAAAACATCGAGCAATGTCAATCCGTCTGCAAGCAGAAAGGAAGACTCACGAATCTCTCTTCACCGAGGGATGATGACGCGAATGAAAGCATTGCACTCGCAGATCGACGCGCTGGACCGACGAAACCCTAGAACGATCCCCAGCAAGAAACGCGCGCCTGTCCCATAAAAATCCACTCGGGAGCCGCGCCGCTACTGCCATCTACACTGAGACTCAAATCCCGACCCTATGCACCTGCTGCACGCCATCGCCTCGCCTCGCAGAGCCCCGAGAAGACGAAGAGCTCTAGCCCTAAAATTTGAAATGCTAGGGCTTGCCACATCAGCAACGTATGGCGCGTGAAACAGTACGCTCTCCAGTCCGTACGGTGGGGCGCCAAACGTATTTATTGTCCTTGGAGCTTTGCGGTGTTTTCTCTCCCGCGAATAAATGGATTGGAGAAGGAGGACCTTCCTTTTGGTGGAGATTTTTCTTCTCGCGGGGCTTTCGCGATCGATCCCGACGACGCTGGAGGGCCCGTTCAAGCCAGTCACGATCCCATTCGACAGCTCCCTGCGGCGAGGAAGCCAGGATTTGCCCACCGATGATCCGCGGCTCCAGCGGACGAGGCCCCACGGATTTCCCGAGCAGATCAAGCTCGCGCTCTCGCATCATGGATCGATGTGGGTGTCGTGGGTCTCCGGTAATCAAATCCATGAGATTGGGGGTGTGAATTGATCGATCGATCGTGAGATTTGTGTGCTATTTGATGTAACAGGGGACTATCAAATCGGGGACAACGTCGTCCCCCTCGATCCTTCCACCACTAAGAGCTTTGTCCTGTATGGGACTTCCACTCACAACTACAATTTCCTGGCGGAGGGATCGGTGGTGGTCTACAGCCAGCTCTATCCATTCGTGGGCCTTCTCAATTACACCTCGGGATTCAATCACCACGTCCTCCTCGATGGTAAGATCTAGAGCGCAAATTCGTGGAATTTTCGGGAAGTCTCTGCGCAGGATTGAAGGCGTCGACGACGTACTACTACCGATGCGGCAGCTCGCTGGAGCGATTGAGCGAGGAGCTCTCATTCACGACGCTGGACGATCGCGGCTATCCCGCGAGGATCGCCGTCGTGGGCGATCTGGGACTCACTTACAACTCGAGCGCCACGGTCGATCATGTCATCCGGAACGATCCCTCGCTTCTCCTCATGGTGGGCGATCTCACATACTCGGATCAATACATCACCAATGGCACTGGATCGCCCTGCTTTAGCTGCGCATTTCCAGACGCGCCAATCCGGGAGACTTATCAGCCTCACTGGGATCACTGGGGGAGGTGAGAGCAAGACTATAGATTCGCGACCCAATCCCTGATTTCCTTGCTCCCAGATTCATGGAACCGCTCACGGCCAAGGTGCCCATGATGGTGATCGAGGGCAACCACGAGATCGAGCCCCAGGCATTGGGCAAAACATTCGAATCATACAAGGCCAGATTCTCGGTGCCTCCTGGATCGAATTCCAGCCTTTATTACTCGTTCGATGTCGGCGGCATCCACTTCCTGATGCTGGGAGGATACATTGACTACAACAGAACAGGTACCCACCTTTTAGGGTTCTTGGGCTCTGTTTTTAGGGTTCTTGGCACTAGGGGCTCAGTTCGCGTGGCTCAAGGATGATTTGCAGCGCGTCAACAGGCTCCTCACGCCCTGGATCGTGGCGGCGTGGCATCCGCCGTGGTACAATAGCTACAGCTCCCACTACCGCGAGGTCGAGTGCATGCGTCTCGAAATGGAGGAGCTTCTCTACAATGCCGGCGTCGACATTGTCATCAATGGCCATGTAAATCCCTCTCTCTTCTCGATCTCGACAGGAATCCTCACATTTGAGTTCCACTTCCTTTGGGTGTTCTTCCAGGTCCATGCCTATGAGAGGACGAACAGAGTTTACAATTACGAGCTGGACCCGTGCGCTCCGCTCTACATCGTGGTGGGCGATGGCGGGAATGTAGAGAGAGTGGACACGGAGCACGCCGACGATCCGGGGAGGTGCCCCAAGCCTGAGGACAACGTCCCCCAATTCGGTGGAGTTTGTGCTCAAAACTTCAGCACTGGACCAGCGGCGAATCAATTCTGCTGGGGCAGGCAGCCGGATTGGAGCGCGCTGCGAGATGGAAGCTTTGGTCACGGCGTCTTGGAGGTAACCCGAGAGTTGAGCCTCTTGATCGATCGAAGTTTGCTCTTTTTCTCTTTAGGTGAAGAACAATACCCATGCCCTGTGGACGTGGTACCGCAACCAAGACGTGTATGGTGATAGTCACCTTGGAGACCAGATCTACATTGTGAAATCACCGCAGTGCCAGAACTATCCCGCTTTCCAAGCTGACGAAAGATCGGGTGGAAACAGTGGAAGTCCCTCCAGGATCTTGGGAGCTCTAGCCATTTTGCTTTTACTCTAGAAATTTCAATGTGCAAAAGTTAATAAAAATGAGCAGGATGAAAAGAATTCTCGCGAGTGAATTCCAGTAATTTCGGAGAGGGAAAGCTAACTGGAAGTCTGGTTTCCAGCCATCCAGTCAAAACTGCCACTTTGCATGTCGACGTGGCCGTTCTGCAGTGGTTGACCTTTTCTCGGTAGCATATATACGATATCAACACAAACGCTGATCATATCATTGATTGGCTCTTTGTCTCTCTTTGATAGATTTTCTTTGCAAGAGAAACTCTAGATCATGTCTCGCGCACTAAGTTTTTTCTTCTTCGTCCTCTTGGTGGCTGCTGCTGTGACCTCTCGGCCAGTGAAGAATGAAACAGGTATGTACCGTTTCTTACAATCCCTGTTCTCCAATCTCGATTGAATATGCCGATCTCTAACTCGATTGGATTTGATGATCTCTGTGTTTCTTTTGAAACATCATGGTCCATGCCTGCATTCGCTTGCATGCAAGCGTGTAACCTGGTTCTTACGTGATTGAATCTTTTTGTCTTTTTACAGTGATGGCTACGATTGCTAATCAGCTGGATTCCAATTCCACCGGAAAAATTGCCGAACCGGAGGTAAAATAATCCTGTATTTGAGACAATATTCTTGACATGCATGATCGTGTGTTGTCAGTCAACTATCTCTGGTGATCAGGAACAGCAAGCCCATGTCGACTACATTTATGATTTTAAACCTTGATGAAACGGGACATTAATAAGGAGTGATCGTAGACTTTAAAGTGAAAGAAATTCTCATTTATTAGAAATAATATACCTTTATTTAATATAAATCGATTTGTCTTTGTCGTATTCTAATTATACAAATTGAGAAAAAGTTGTACAAGTAAAATTTTCCAGTCTGTCTTAAAGCCCCACAACTTCCGTGAGTAAATTTTATTTGATCAGAACAGCGACATTGGGCGCTGTTCATACGTGCCAAACATTTTTTATTAACATCACAAGGAGAGAGATCATATGGGAGACCACTCAGTTATTCATCTTTCATCATATGGATATAGTTTGATCATCCAAAAGGATCTAGCAGCACTGGAGAACTCCCTCGACGTTCTGGATGCAATCATTGAGGTCGCGATTGGAGAAGACGAGAACGCCATCCCCGCGGTTGCAACGGGCAGCCACGGTGAGCCCATTGAAGCTGATGTCGATGCATCGCGAGGCAAAGTTGGATGAGCAATCGAGGATGCCATTGCTGCTGCCCACGCAGTTGTTCACATCGATGGAGGCGTTCCTCGTTTCCAAATTGGATCTGCTGCAAATGGCTCTCATCACGGTCGAATTCCTGTCGAAGGTGATATCAGTGCAGGATCGAGAAAACTGGCAAGCCTGTGTAATAGTAAGATATCCAAATTGTGAGCTTCTTGCCGGACAATCGAATGATATTTTCTTACCAGGATGATGGAAAGGGCCGAGACCAGCATACACAGGAAGAAAACCCCGCGAAATGCCATAATGAGATAGAACAAGAAATGACCAAGAAGAAAATGAGTAAACAACTTTAACTAGAGATGAGTTGAGCTCTGGAAAGGCGTTGTTTATATAGTCCTACGCTTATCTTGACGACTCAGCTAGTACATGACTCCACATTGCGGCTAGAATGCAAAATTTCTACGTCGACTACATTACTATACACGTAAATATTGAAATTTAGCTCAGTTTATGATTTTTCAACGTTCCAGCCAGCTATATGTTGATCATACATGGTGACATTTATAGTAGTTTGCGTGTTTCATTTTAATTATAAATGGAATCGAAACCATAGATAAGATTATCCAGTGTGTGCGAAAGGTCGTAAAAGTCTACAAAAGAAGTAGTAAAATCGAAAAGCAAACCGATGAAGTTCCTCAAGAGATAAAGCGCTCTCAAAATAGGTATGTCCCGTTTGGACACGAGGATCGTCAAGAAAATTCCGCCAGAATTGCCAAGCCCTTCTCAGAACTTCCAGCAACTGGCTACAGGCAGTCAGAAAATTTACGGCCGGTCAGCACGCTCTTTTCAAAAACGCGATCAGGTCGACTCTCTCCTGCGGGGAAGCGAGGCCATCATAGGGCTTTTTCGTTCCTGGAAAGAACTGTGATGGAGTGGAGGAGAAACAGACCAGTATTGCGCTATCGTCAAGAGAAAATGGCTGTGGTACCTTGTTCGGATCAAAAATGTAGTCGAAAAGCGCTCTCTCGTCCCAGATTACTTTCGTGTTCTTGTTCGCCGGCGAGAATGCGTAGCCTGGCGCGGTCCCTGCTTGCCTTCCAAACAAGCCGTGGAGATTGGGGCCTGGAACCGATCGAGATCAAGGGCCACAGTAAATTCCGAAACTACAAGGACAAAAATCGATCGATCAGCTGGGCCTTACCAAGCTTGTGGCCGCCATCGCTCTCCACTGCGTGACAGTCTGAGCATTTGGCCATGAAAATCTTGCGCCCATTGGCGGCATTGCGGACAATGACTGGCGCGTCCTGGAAGCTTGTCGCCATGATAATCCCTGGGGATAATTCTTGAATCTTGTTGCAAAGAGTATTTGCATGTCAGCATAAGATGCAATAAAAAAAGAGGAGAAAACCCAATTCTGCACAAAAGTATATTCGCCCCGGCTCACTATATAATAAACCCTAATACCCTAGAAAAGGGAAGAGTTGTCTCCGGTAAGCAAGCAAGTTTATAGCTATTGCTCGCATCGCCACCGTCCAAACCGTCCGCCTCATTTGTAGAGGCACGTTTGAGTGATTTCCTCTCGCACTTTCGAGACGACCCTTACACAACAAGGAATATCCGTGGATCTTCTTAATCGATGTTGCCTGACCACTTTCTCTATAACTCTGTCGCACCTCACCTTGGCCCCCATGCCACCACCGAGCTGATCGAGATCGTCAATGCACGTGAGCGATTCTCCGTCATAGATCTTCACAGCAACTACACTCTCCTCTGCTGGATCCAAGTTGGAGAGTTCCTCACAAATTCCTACCACGTTGTAGTAGTTCCGGGCGGCACTTCTTGTGATGACTGAAATATCTTTCATCGAAGGAGGTCAACCAAAATCTCATTTGGACGCATTGACTGGTTCAACACGGTTACTCGAGGACCCTTTGGAGTCAGCCACTGTAAAAGTTGACAAGGTGATGTGTTTCACACATAAAGGAAAAAAAAGTTACCATTGCTTGCTGGGGTCCAACTAAGGCAACATTGAAGGCACCAATGAAGATAACGTTCTTCCTCATGACAATTACATTCAAGTGGAACTTTGCCAGCCACTCATCTTCCTGTGAGTGATTAGTTAACTTCAAAGCCTAGTGCCAAGAACAAACGTTTCTTACCTTGATTGTATTGATGCTCTTGATCTCCTTTCCTGGGATGCAGTCCTTGAGATAAATGTGCTATACTGATTTAATCTGGGGAATCCTTGCCCTTGTCAAACTCTCGACATTGTAAGTTACTTTGATGATTGGTACAACCTCTCAATAGTACCTGTTGAAGAGTTTTGGATACCATCACCAAAGGCTGTGCTGGAATAGCTAAATGCAGGCAATGAGCCATGAGTGCTAGTTCATTTGGAGAGTGACATGAGTGCAAACACTTTGGGAAGCATGGAATCATTGTCACATCGATGGGCAACAAGCAAGGATATCTATGGTAATGGCATCATGGTGGAGACTCACTCTTATAGTGGTGTGTCTTCATTATGCCATCCTGAAAGAACGGGTGAAACCAAGACAGCTAGAGGAGTGGAGGATCAAGTGGCTCCCATGTTTCGGCAGAATAGTAGGTGGCGAGATTTGCTAGCAGTGGTGCCCCCCAAATGTTGTTCTATGTCTGATTCGAGGGGAGACTTGGATATCAACATGATCCGAAAGAGACGACTATGTTCACTTTTACTCCGGGACTAGGTCTAGTTGCGACACAAGAGGATCATATAGAGTAGCTCATTGAGAGGGTGGCATGCCTAATTTTTGTATTAGTCCCATTGGGACATGGGGAATGTACATATATATTTGTTAAACAACTAAGCGCTTCTAGATTGAAATACTCCAGCCTATCAATCACTATATCATAGGCCACTAAGAAAAAGAAGAGATCAGAATGCATTCCATAAATACTTAAAAACACTCATATGGATGCCTCATATGCTGCCATCCATTGGATACAATCAATGACAAGGATTCTCCACTGATTTGTAGCTCCTTGAACATGTGCTATGGATTAAACAATTAGGAAAGGAATAGGCAAATGTGAAAGCACTCACCAAGTTGAGTGATCTCCTGTTGTCCATCCTTGCACAAGTAAAACCTCTCTTACTATACACTTAAGGTCCAAGCCCAATATCAAGAGGATAGAACTTTATTAGCTATGAGCATGGACCATACTTAGAGCTCACGAGTTGAAAAGTTGAGCTCGTGAGTTGAGTTGAAGTTTCAATTGTAGTTTAATACAAACATTAAAAACTTTAAAATATTAAGGTTATGGTGAACTTAATAATTTCATAACCCTCTACATATTATATAGATAAAAATGTTCTAAAGAACACTTCTTATTCTAACAATTTAAATATTTACTACATGCCATAATAAGGATGTTTGTTATGTTTGCAGAAAAAATATTCTTGTCACTTCCTTAAATCTGTATTGTGTGCTTTCTGGCTACTAAATATCAGGTTTGTCAAAATTAAAAAATTATTAAATTTGAAATAAGATTCTATGTAAAGCCATATAAGTGTTTGAAAGGAAAAAAAAAAAACTGTTGATGTAAGCTTATTACATATAAAATAAAGACTTAGATCTTTTTTAGAATACATTCTTAAGGGGTTTGTCATAGCATACTATTTAGAATTTATGGATTTTTATTCACTCTATTATTCAAAAAGAGGGAAATACACATAAATATCTGTGGGTTTTAATGTTAGTAATTTTAACTTTCACAATTTTTCTTCCCAAGGTTCAAGGGCTAGAAGATGTAATAATTATCTCATTGCATAGCATAACCAAACCACACAAGAGAATGAAAGAGAAGATAATAATCATGAGTTAGAGATAGATGCAATGACAAAGGGCGCAACAAATTAAGTGAAAAAGAATGCTCTTTTACTTATTTTAGGAAATTACAATTCTGCCACTTTCAAGAAATACTCTATATGTTTTTAGTGGCTGGGAGAAACAATAATGATGAGATATATATGTTTTCGTGACACACTACAACATCATGCACCCGAAAGACTATTATTAAATCTTTTTTGAGATGGTAAAGACAGAAATGGAGACACATGAGTACTATGGATAGTATTGTGAAAAGAATACTCGAAAGTATATAAAATGAAAAGTGAAATGAAAAAACACTTTTTTATTAATTATATAAAGTATAATAAGTTTATATTATTGATAGAGAATAAACATCAATAGTGTTGGAGAAATCTAGTTAGCTTCAAAAGTTTTTTGTAACTCAGCAATAATAAGGCTTGCTTGGTGTATATGAATATCCACTTTAGGATCCCGATGCAAGATGTTGATGAAGATGTAATACATATGCTTGCAAGGAGCATATACCTTCTTATATTCTTCGCGCTTCGTAAAGTTTAGACATATGCAAAAAGGAAAGTCTTGAATGGCAATTGTGTACTTTCCATCTTCTATTTTGACTATGTATTCCTTTGCAAGTGCAATGATGTACTTCATGGATAGAATCTCACACTTAAGTGTTTGAGCCAAATTTATTTTACCTTACTTTTGCTTGGAGATGGTACCAATAAATTTAACTGCTTTACCTCTTCTTGGTGGCCTCCTATGCATCTCTAGGAATAGTTTTGGTTTTGTCACTCATGTCTCCAACTCTCCTTTTAAGATTGAAACTAGATTTCTTAAAGTTTTCAATCTCATCCGAGGTGAACACGACCCCATTAGCAACTGGCCATTCTTTAGGTACTACATCAGATTTAGTCACTATAATGTCTTCAAGCTATTTCATATGGTTGGCATCAGTGTTGCAACAATATAACCAGTATCATCTTGAAAATCCTGCTTGCTTTTATTCCCCATAGAAACATGGGGTTGGAATAGAAGCTAATTTGTCACCACAAATCCAAACCTAACAATTGCTCTTTAAAAGCATCCCCACACACCTTATATTCGATTTTGCTTGCACGTGTTGGATTGACCATTGTTTCAGCTCTATGCTACGGTAAGTAATTTCAACTTGTTATGATATCACTTGAAATGGCTCGGTCCAAAAGTGGTGTCTTAGAGTAGAATGGTACTCAACATCAGGCCTGTGAGAGATTTTTACACCAAAGTCTGTGGCAACATCTTCACCAATAAAGGAAAAGTGACATTTTGAGTAGATAGTCTTCATATCACCAATAGAAGCCTAGGGAGTGTATTTCATAGCTGTGCCACAGACCACTACCTTAACTGCAATTGCTATTGTTCAGGCAGGTGGAGTTAATTTTCTCTTCATCCTATCATATAACATCTCAGAGGAAGGCCTTGTTCTCACATATTTTCCTTCCTCGAATGCTAGCACTTTTGAAGATTGCCTTATAGCGCATATCAAATATGATAGACAAGCTTTGTATAGACTTATCTTCCCTTTCCCTGCCTCAGAGGAATGCCAACTCTAGTGCTTACTTTTGGAGAGATTCATAGTTGGGGTGTATGCAAGGTCCTCAAGTGGTTGATTCTAATGGAAAAAACAATATTAAAAGGTAATAAAATGAGAAGAAAAAGTAGAAACCAACTTGAAAAGAGTGATATCGCCACTAGAACATCTTAACTTCTCACCACCCTAACCATGACTCAAGTTGTGGTAGACAACTTACATCTGTATGGCCATCTTCATGCCATCACATTTGGATTTTGTTTGTTTTTGCCTCATGCTTTTTTTCAAAAGGTGCAATCTGCCATTGTTTGCACAACTCCTTAAACATTGATTGAAACTCTAGCTTGATAAAGTGGCAGTGTTGGTTTAGGCTTTGAGCCTAATGGAATTCATAAGTCCTCTCATGACCTTCCAATGGATGATCATTTCTAAAAATTGCTTGAACATCATTTCAATTTACACTAACCCCATCTACCATTAAACCACGAAAGTTTGTAGGCTTACCAACCCGCTTTAGGACAATATCAGAGAGGGACTTCCAAAATATTTCCTGGCTGTCTGATCTTGTACTTTAAACTCTACTATCGCAATTGTCAAGTTATAATATAGCTTGTGAAAACACAAATATTACAACAATTTCAATATAATGAGAATAAAAATTACTTTGGATCATACACATGAGCTCCCATGGTTGTCCAATCTAATATGCTCTCCATATGGTCAAAATATACCTATGCATTTGTAAGGTCACTAGACCCAAACATATCTATTCGGGAGACAAAATCTATATTAGAGGTAGGGACTATGGTAGATATTTTGAAGACGAAGGGGCATTTTTGCTCATTCACAACTTAGTCTAGAAATAAACTTTTGTGGATGAATTTGTATGGATAGATCCATTACAATTT